TAGACCCTTCTTCAGAAATGAAGAATTTCTGAAGAAGGGTCTAGGCCCGAAACGTCAGCCTTCCTGCTCCTCTGATGCTGCTTGGCCTGCTGTGTTCATCCAGCTCTACAACTTGTTTTCTCAGATTCTCCAGCATCTGCAGTTCCTAATATTGTTGACTTAATTCATTTTTTTAATCATTCATTCTTGGAACAAAGCATTATTTGCAACACCAGTAGTTATTGCCCATCCTTGTTAGTCTTGAAATTGAGCAGCTTATAGGGCCATTTCAGCCAAATAAGGACCATAGAATCCTTTGCTAGAGGCCTTTAATGATCAAGTTGTGTTATTATATCACACCAGGTCATATCTTGATCATGATTAGTAAAATTTGCATTTCATTTCAGAAATTTTTAATCAAACTGTACAGACATATTATGATACATCTGGAGCAGGTGGGGCTTGATCTTGGACCTTCTGGCCCAGAATTGGGACATTACCACTGTACCACAAGACCACTTCATTTCAGATTTAATCAACAGAATATAAATTACCCCAGTTGGGCCTCCAGCTAATCATCCCCACTCACCTTCCATATTATTCATTGGAAAGGCCCACAAGTTATCAGGACATGAACAAGGTTGATAATGACTTGGATAATCGCCATTCTCAGTAAACTCTGACTGATTATTTCTTGGAGGATGGGTGTTGTAGTAGTCACAGTACACAGCTGAAAGAAACAACAGCAGATCAAATATAGAGCTCTTACGTCACATAAAATATTAGCATCACTATTTCGGGTAGTAACTGTCTCTGGCAGTGTTTATTCATTGTGTTATATACACACAAATATATTTGTGTGCAAAGTGCACCAGAGTGTGTTTGCATGTCAGTTGTATTTCAGTATGGATGTGGTAAAAGTTTAGTAGTTGGTCACAAATATGGGAAGGTGAATTTAATTGGTGGGAAATTCTGAGGGAAGCAGGCAATCAGATCTTAGATGAAGACTGAAGCAGTGCATCTGTAAGCTGTTTTGTGCATGCTTTCAATCCAATTCAGGTGATAGCATATCCATAGTACATGTTGAAAGAATGCTGTTTCATGAAATGCGAGTGCAGTTCTGATTTCACAGCCATTAAAGTAGCTGTGCTTGTGGTGGAATTTGACTGTGTGCATGTATCATGTGCCATAACAACTAATATCCCCAGTAAAAAAATGGCATGACTAGTTATTGCGTCTTACACACAGTGCACTTAATGGTATCCCAACAACAGAACATAAAGGAACCTGTACCAGTAGATTCCAGTATGGGGTTACCAGAAAATGTTTGCCATTGTTTCAGTCCAGCCTACCCACCATTTCTTGGTTGGTCTCCTTTATTCCAAAATATTATTGGGCTTAAAATTCCATTGTGTTCCATTATAATTACTTTTGGGACTCTACTGAAGAGGCTCCAATTTATAATGGGAGCTTTATTCACTTTCAAGCTCTGTGTGTAAAGTTGTCTTAACCCATTCATAAAATGTGGGCTGCACTGGAATTTATTGCCCATTAAAAATTGCGAATGAGAAAATGGTGGTGAGCTACCTCCTTGAACTATCACAGTCCATGTTTTGTTCATACATGCAAAGTGTTATATGGGAGGAACAGGAAGATGTTTCCAAATCTGGATGATATCTGGTTTAGAGGATAACCTTCAGGCAACAGTGATACCAAGCATCTGCTGCGTTTGTCATTCAAGGTGGTAGAATGTGCAATTTTGGAAGTTGCTGTCGAAGGAGTCTTGGTGAATTGCTGCTGTGGATCTTGTAGATAGTACATATTGCTGTTACTGTGTATTTATGGTGGAAGAAATGAATGTTAAAGGAGGAGGGTGAAGTGTCAATCAATAAGCTCATATTGTCATGGATGGTGTTGAGCCTACTAAGAGTGCCGTCGGAGCTGCAATCATCCAGTTGAGTAGTGGCTATTCCATTCCACTCCTGAACTGTCAATTGTAGATGGTGGTCAGGATTTGAGGAGTCAGGAAGTGAGTTACTCACCACAGGATTCTTAACCTCTTGTCTGCTCTGGTCACCACAATATTTATATGGCTGATCCAGGTCAGTTTCTGGTCAATGGTAACTTGTATCATGTTCACAGGGTAGATCGTTCAATTCTCTTTTCTTGGAAATGGTCATTATCCGCACACGTGTGGCATGAATGTTACTTGCTACTTATTAGCCCAAGCCTGGATATTATTCAGATCTTGATGCATTTTAGATACAGACTGTTTCAGTATCTGAGGAATCATGAAAGGTACTAAACATTATGCAATCATCAGTGAGTGATGGAAAAGCTGAAGACAGTTGAGTTTATGCCACCATCCTGAGTATCTCCCATTGCGATGTCTTGGGATTGAGATGATTAACTTCCAAGAAGTCAACCATTTCCGTTATTGCTAGGTATGACTCCAATCAAAGGTGCATTCTCCCCCTAGTTTTCTTTGACTTCAGTTATGCTGGGGCTCCTTGATCGCATACTTGGTCAAACAATTCCTTGAAGTCAAGGCCAGTCACTGTCAGGTCACATTAGGAGTTCAGTTCTTTTGTCTGTGTTTGGATCAAAGTTTCACAGAGGTCAAGAGTTGAGCAGCCCTGAAGACACACAAACTTAGTGTCACTGAGAAGGTTTCTGCTGATCAAATGCCAAGTCAGAGTGGCATGTGATCTGGAAGACCACATACAGGTGATGATGTGGTAATGGGCAGAATTTAATCCCCCAATTCCTTAGGTTGGTTTTGTGGTAGAGGATCATTAATTCAGGCAAAAGCGCAGCTTGTGGTCACCCTACTACCTTCTTGCCACTAACTTGATCATATCTGTGGACAGAAGGCCTGTGGACGGTCTACCTGCCCTCTACAAATTCAGACCCTTAAATGCAATTACTGGGGCTTTATCCTGCAGCCACTGACAGTTACCAAATGGTGGGCAGAGGCCTCACCATGCAGGAAACAAGACAAGTGTACATGTACAAGGTTGTTTGCCAGGTCCTGGAGGAGGACACTCCTAAAAGGTATTTGGTGCTTGTTTCTCATTGAAATATATAAGATTCTTAAATGGCTTGACAAGGTAAATGCTGAGAAGATGTTTCCCCTCATGGGAGAGTCTAGGACCAGAGGGCAAAGTCTCAGGCAACAAATCAAGACTGAAATAAGGAAAAATTTCTTCTCTCAGAGGGTTGTGAGTATTTGGAACTTCTTGCCACAGACAGCTGCGTATATCTGTGACAGCAGAGTCCTTGTGTATATTTAGAGTTGAGATGGATAGATTTTTGACTATGGGGAATCAAAGGTTATGCGGAAAGGGAAAGAAAGTGGACGTGAAAAATGCAGATCACCCGTGATCTTATTGAATGGCAGAGCAAGCTCAAGGGGCTGAATAGCCTTCTCCTGGTCCTACTTCTTATGGTTTTGTGGTGGCACAAGAAAAGCCAACCCCTACTCTAGATGCTGGATCTCCTTCTTCCTTGTGCCCTCAAAACCATGAAACCCTCTTATTACCACTTTCCTGTGGCCTGGGATCTAGCAACGTTCCCTGGTCTCCGGTGATATCATACCGGCAGCAGACATTGGTGCCACCAACACTCAACAGAGCTGCTGGCCTCTGATCGGATGGCAAAAGTCAGCAGGTAGAATGTTGGCCCTGGAGTCTTTGATCTGGGGAACCTGATGCTTGCAATGTAAGGCCTACTGTGGCAAGCTTCCCCTAAAAGAAGTGAGGTGGGTCTCTCATCATTTCTTCAGCCAGGTAGGAAACCCTAGTTGCCTCCATTAAACTTACCTCATGTGTCTGGTGCCTTTTATTTTTTAAGTGGTAGAGTTCAGGGATTTAGAACATGCAAGCAATTCCTGCAGTGCATCTTCAAGATGCTACATACAACTGTGATGGTGTGCCAGTTACTATGGTGTAGTGTGCTACAGAGAATAAATGTCTAACTTGGTAGATGTGAGTCAGTCAAGTAGGCTGCTTTGTCCTGGATATTATTGAACTTCTTCAGTGTGCTGAGCCTTTACTCATCCAGAAAAATAAGCATATTCCATTACACAGCTGCCTCTGCCTTGCAGGTCGTAGACAAGATGTGTGGAAACTTGCTAGGATATCCAGACCGTAATTGTTCTTGTAGTCACAGTATTCATCTGGCTAATTCAGTAAGGTTGATGGTGAAGACTCAGTGATGGTGCTATAATTTACTGTGGTTTGGTTCTCTCTTGTTGAAGATGATCATTGCTTGCTATGTATGTTTGAATGTTCTTTGCACTTGTCAGCTGAAGTTTGAATGTTGTTCAGGTCTTGCTGCATACAGCATAGATTATTTCATTGTTTTGGGAGTAATGAATGATACTGAACCACAGAATATAAGGAAATTCACTGATAATAGAGCTAAAGATTGTTCACTGACATGAAGGTCAAAAAAAATGAGCACTAGCACAGCACGTGTCAATAAATTCAGTGAAATTTATCTGTAAAACCACATACAACAGTCATCATCAGTGTTGGCTTCCCCCAAAATAAACTATACTGAATGAATAACACACTTGTGAGATTATAGCTAAAAATTTGAAGATATAAAAAAATTAACTGTAAAAGAAACTGAATAATGGAAATTTCTGTGTAAATCAATTATCATAGCTTCGGTGGATTATGGTGCAAAAATGGATATTATGCAAATTTTCTTTCAAGGATTCAGAATTGTTAAGAAATTACTCATTTTTTAAAAATGCACTGTTAGTACACTCCCTTCAAAACCTTCTAGAATTCAATAACTTACCGCAGAAGTCAAGGCTTCTCCAGTTGATACAGACTCCAGCATCTAAGCAGGCTTTTGCATAGACAGCAACAGCACCACATAGACAGTCACAGTCTCCAAAAATGTCGCAACCACATGTAGTTTGTACACAGCTTTCATAATATGGAACTCGATAAACCTGTCAGCAAAGAGGAATTTGTATGATGATTATCAAACGACATTTTACATAAAGCAGATATATAATATGTTAGTATGTTAGGGCAGAACTTGTGAGCTCAACAGGTAAAATGACCTGAGATAGTAGGAACTGCAGATGCTGGAGAATCTGAGATAACAAGGTGTAGAGCTGGATGAACATAGCAGGCCCAGCAGCATCGGAGGAGCAGGAACGCTGACATTTCGGGCCTAGACCCTTCTTCAGAAAATGAGGCTAAATGACCTTCTCTTATTGCTACGAAAATTAACTGTAATGTTTTCTTCACTACAACAATTATAATTCTCACTCAAGGTGCTGTCTTTCCTTTAAATCTGATGTTACCCCCGTCCTCAGAAGACAAACCCTTGACCCATTATCCTTGCAAACTATTATCCAATCTCCAAACCCCCTTTTCCTTAACTAAGACCTTAAATGTGTTGTCACTTCCCAATTCCATTCCCATCCTCCACACATGATGTGGAGGTGCCAGTGTTGGACTGGGGTGGACAAAGTCAGAAGTCACATGACACCAGGTTATAGTCCAACACATTTATTTGAAATTAGAGGCTTTCGGAGCGCAGCCCCATCGTCAAGTGACTTCAACTGACCAAGGGGCCGTGCTCCGAAAGCTTGTGACTTCATCCTCTACACATTCATGGTTTGAATCCTTTCAATCAGGTGTTCACTCCTCCCACATTACCAACACACTCTTATCAACATCAGAAATGACATCCTAGGTGTCTGTTCTACAATGATTGAGATGATCAATGTTCATGCTATATTGGCTCCACCTATTCCACTAATGTCCCCCACACAGCCTCTGGCTGGAGTCAAGGAGTTCTAGTCTAATGTTTAGGTAGAACAAATATATCTATAACAGCTTCCTTAGTTTCCAGTAATTTTGCGTGACCAAATGTAGTTGTAATTACTGCTATTATGTAATAAATCTGCTTGTTACCTAAGAATAGTACACTTCCATGGATACTCCACAGTGTTGCACCTTCTACTATTAAAAAAGCAGCACAGTGGCTCAGTGGTTAGCACTGCTGCCTCAGAACGCCAGGGACATGGGTTCGATATTTTCAATTGACAATGGATGCACAACTTACACATGCAATTTGAGACAGATGTTAGAAACACTCTTGATGAGGTGGAAGCAAATTGGGGATGTATAATGTCAGTTATCCAGGGAAAGTATGCATCAGTACTGGATTGTGCGGATTGGAAATAGCCAATGTGCATACAGTTTTCAGGGTATCAGAATTCATGGAGGACAACAAAATATTTTAAAAGATGCTAAAGAAGAGATCTGGACCAGAACACCAGAAGGTCCTCACATGGGCCTGTCCGCTGGTGGAAATCTCATGGGATAGTATGCTATGGGATACTGGACTGGAGAGACACACATTGGGAATATGTCTGTGCCATTGTGGCTGTGAATACATGGAGGGGATTTTTTAATTGCAGTAGGGAAGGACATTTAGAAAAGAAATGTAAAAAAACCATGAAAAGGCCATGAATGAGCAGTGCATGAACTGCAGTTGGGTCAGACATTAGCAAAACAAAAACTGAAAGAACTGTGGATGCTGTAAATCAGGAACAAAAACAAAGTTGCTGGAAAAGCTCAGCAGGTCTGGCAGCATCTGTGAAGTTAATGTTTTGGGTCCAGTGACCCTTCCTCAGAACTGTACTGAGGAAGGGTCACCGGACCTGAAACGTTAACTCTGGTTTTTCCCTTCACAGATGCTGCCAGACCTGATTAGCAAAACAAATGTTATTCAGAATCTTGAATGGGGCATAATAGTCAGGCTGATGCAATCCATGACTAACTAACCAGTCTGGACCATCTGGAAACCTGATGTGGCCTATTGGCTAATTATTGATCATATAATTTTAAAGAGGTGTCCAGTAGTAGCTAGCCCTGTTATTATTCTGACACATGACTTTTTCACTCTTGACATTATTATGGTTATTGGACTATTTTGCTAGATGAGGTTTCTAATGTCTTAATGTTGGCTTTTGCAATAATACACTGATGGTACATATGGACCTGCCTGCTGCAAGAACTTCATAATAGCCCAGCTACTTTTCACTGAGTGATGAGTGATACCTTAAGCAATGTGAATATGGGTAAAGGCAACATAGTGATTCAATGCATGGATGCTTTGGAAATTGCTAAAGAACACATAGGAGCTTGGCTACGAATTCTTGAATTGCTTGAAGTGGATGGGTTTAAAGCCAGCTCAAGAAAAGCTAGGGAAGTGGGAAGTTCAGTATTTGGGCTTTGTGGCATCACAAGATAAATAGGAACTTCCCTGCAGCTGGAACAAGGCTACAGAGAAAATGCTGAGACCCATGAATGTGCGAGAAGTGAGAAAAGTCAAGGGACTGTTTCACTATTCAAGGACCTTTGTAAAGGACTTTGCTAAAATAGCCAACCCATGCAAGAACTGATAAAAGAGGGGAAGGCATTGCAGGATCAGATAATCAAGAATTAGCCAAATGGCAGTGAAACAGGTACTCATCTCAGAACCAACATTGGGGTTACATTGTTTGGCAAACCATTACACTTCTATACCTGCAATGTGGGAGGACTTTACAGCACTGTACTGTCTCAAGAACAGAGATTGGATGAGGCTCATCAGGTATTTTTCAACAAAGCAATCCCCCATGGTGAATAGGATGCCCCAATGTGTAGCAGGAATTGACTGTACGTTCTGGGCAGTGAAAGGCCTGCAAATCCATTGTAATGACAGGAGAGTTGATGCTGCACACAAAACACATCATTTTCTAGTCTCTGGCACATCTGAAGAAAAGCCACATCAGTCTCAAAATTCTGTTTCTCCATTCACAGATAGTGCCAGACCAATAATGTTTCTCCAGCACTTGCTGTTTTTATTTCAGATTTCCAACATCTGTAGTATTTTGCTTTTAAACACTTTACAATGTGCTCTATAGTAGAATTGTTCAATGCAGGGAAGCTGAAAACTGTGTTAAATCTGGGTGGGCAGCGGGGAAAAAAAGACAAAGCGGTTGTAATAATCTTCGACTCCAGGGTTAATCAGTAGAGGGCTTATTGCTAGAAGGGAAGAAATTTGCCACTGAACTAGATCACAATTGTCTGTAGAAGATAGATGTGTACACCTGGGCACTCTGAGGAAAAGTGAGTTAGGTGTAGATACGTCACTGTTTGTAGATAGATCTGCAGACATATCGATTAGATCCTCTGAACAGGGTGTACAATTATCGATGGACTAGGAGAGATCATGATAGGATTAGATGCCAGTGTTATAGCTGTACTGGAATAGCTTGGCTAGGGGCATGGTAAATTCTGCAGCACCAATTGTCGGTACAATTGCCAGAATATTGTTGGAACTCATTTCCTATTGGTCCTATAAGTCTCCAGTTTCTGATATCATGTGGAGTGAATCAGCTGAAGACAGGCATTTGTGATACTGGGGACCAACAGAGGAGGCAAAGGTAAATTATCCACTCTGCACTTCTGGTTGAAGATTGTTGCAAATGTTTTGGTCTCCACGTCAGCACTGATGTCTTAGGCTCCCTCATCATTGAGGATGGAGATATTTGTAGAGCTTTGTCCTCCCTTGCATTATGTTATTGTACACCACCATTGACGATGTGAGATTGCTTAGTTCAGTCTACCCTTGCTGTTTATGCTGTCTGTTATGCAAGTAGCTTCTTTGTAGCTTTGCCAGAATGACAGCTTATTTTTAGGTATGCCTGTTACTGCTCCTGGCACGTCCTCCTGCACTCTTCATTGAACAAAGGTTAATCCCTGGCTTGATGGTTATAGCATGTGAGGCACACGAGAGCCCTGGTTACAGACCTATATTCTTTTTCTTAAATCCACAGAAAGAAATGATATTCCACAGCTGACAAGGAGAAGGCAGTGTTATGAGCTAACAGCATTCTGTTATTTGTTCAGAGATAGTAGGAACTGCAGATGCTGGAGAATCCGAGACAACAAGGTGCAGAGCTGGATGAACACAGCAGGCCAAGCAGCATCATAGGAGCAGGAAAGCTGACGTTTCGGGCCTAGACCCTTCATCAGAAATGAGGTTACACCTCCCAGTCGTGAACCATTTCAACTCCCCCTCCCATTCCTCAGATGACATGTCCATCCTGGGCCTCCTGCAGTGCCACAACGATGCCACCTGAAGGTTGCAGGAACAGCAACTCACATTCCGCTTGGGAACCCTGCAGCCCAATGGTATCAATGTAGACTTCACAAGCTTCAAAATCTCCCCTCCCCCTACCACATCCCAAAACCAGCCCAGCTCGTCCCTGCCTCCCTAACCTGTTCTTCCTCCCACCTATCCCCTCCTCCCACCTCAAGCCACACCCCCATCTCCTACCTACTAACCTCATCCCGCCCCTTGACCTGTCCGTCCTCCCTGGACTGACCTATCCCCTTCCTAACTCCCCACCTACACTCACCTTTACTGGCTCCATCCCCGCCTCTTCGACCTGTCTGTTTCCTCTCCACCTATCTTCTCCTCTATCCATCTTCTATCCACCTCCCCCTCTCTCCCTACTTACTTCAGAACCCCATTCCCCTCCCCCATTTCTGATGAAGGGTCTAGGCCCGAAACGTCAGCCTTCCTGCTCCTATGATGCTGCTTGGCCTGCTGTGTTCATCCAGCTCTGCACCTTGTTGTCTCGGATTCTCCAGCATCTGCAGTTCCTACTATCTCTGAACAAATAACAGAATGCTGTTAGCTCATAACACTGCCTTCTCCTTGTCAGCTGTGGAATATCATTTCTTTCTGTGGATTTAAGAAAAAGAATATAGGTCTGTAACCAGGGAGAAGAACCTACTAACCTCATCCCGCCCCCTTGACCTGTCCGTCCTCCCTGGACTGACCTATCTCCTCCCTACCTCCCCACCTACACTCACCTTTACTGGCTCCATCCCCGCCTCTTTGACCTGTCTGTCTCCTCTCCACCTATCTTCTCCTCTATCCATCTTCTATCCGCCTCCCCCTCTCTCCCTATTTATTTCAGAACCCCCTTCCCCTCCCCCATTTCTGAAGAAGGGTCTAGGCCTGAAACGTCAGCCTTCCTGCTCCTCTGATGCTGCTTGGCCTGCTGTGTTCATCCACCTCTACCACTATCCTCTGTCTCCTACTGTCACAACAATTTTGTATCCAATTGGCTAGCTCTTCCTGAATCCTATGAGATCTAACTGTACTAATCAGACAGCCATATGGAACCTTATCAAAGGCCTTGCTAAATGACAATGTCTACTGCTCTGCCTTCATCTATCTTTTTGGTCATCTCTTCAAAATCAAGTTTGTGAGACATGATTTACCATGTACGAAGCCGTGCCCAACTATCCCAAATCTGTCCTTGATGTTCCAAAGTCCTTGCCTGTAAATCCCATCTGTCAGAAACCTCTCCAACAACTTACCTACTACTGACATCAGGTTCTATAGTTCCCTGAATTTTCCTTACAGCCTTTCTTAAATAATAGCACAACATTAGCCACCCTCCAGTCTTCAACAATCGAAGAGACAATATCTCTGCAAGGGGCCCTGCAATCTCTGTCCTAGCTTGCACAGTGTTCTGGGATACATCTGATCAGGTCCCAGGAATTTATCTACCTTTATGAGTTTTAAGACCTCCAGCACCTCCTCTTCTGTGATGTAGACTCTTTTCAAGACATCGCTATTCATTTCCCCAAGTTTCCTTGCTTTCATATCTTTCTCCATAGTAAATACTTTGTTTAGCATCTTACCCATCTCCTGTGGTTCTACACATAGATGGCCTCGTTGATCTTTAAGAAGCCCTTTTCTCTCCCTACTTACTCTTTACCCCTTAATGAACTTTTAGGTTCTCTTAGAATTCTCTGTAAGTTTATTTTGGCAAAACTATTTCACATCCCCTTTTCGCCCTCCTGAATTCCCTCTTAAGTATACTCCTACTTCCCCTGTACTTCTCCAGAGATTCACTTGATTCCAGTTGTCCATGCATGATATATGCCTCCTTCTTTTTCTTGACCAGAGCCTCAAAATCTCTAGTCATCCAGAATTCCTTACACCAAACCGCCTTGCCCTTCATACTAACAGGAATATACTGTCTCATTAACTCATTTTTGAAAGCATCCCATTTGCCAGCCATCCCTTTACCTATGAACAGCGTCTACCAATCAACTTTTGAAACTGCCTGTCTAATACTGTCAAAATTTGCCTTGCTCCAATTTAGAACTTTTAACTTTTTGATCAAGCCTAGTCTTTTCCATAACTATTTTAAAACTAATAGAATTATGATCACTCCCAAAGTGCTCCCCTATTAACACTCCCAATCACTTGCCTTGGAGGGGCCTGTAGTACAATCCCATCAAGGTGATCATCCCTTTCTTATTTCTCAGTTCCACCCTTGTAGCCTCATTGGATGATTCCCCAGGAAACCATCTCTAAGTATCATCGTAATGTTGTCCCGAATCAAAAACACTCATCCTCCTCTCTTGCCTCCTTTTCTATCCTTCCTACAGCATCCATATTCCTGAACATTAAGATGCCAGTTATGTCCTTCCTTCAGCCATGTTTCCATAATAACTACGGTATCCCTGTCCCATATATCCCATTCATGCCCATGATTGCTGTCATGCAGTAAAATACATCTTTATTCGTATAAGACCCTGAGTTTGTTGACTTGCTCACCGAGCTGATTTTTGTTCAGACATTTCGTCACCATGCTAGGTGACATCATCAGTGGAGCCTCCAATGAAGCGATGTTATTCTACTCAGCTTGGAATTTATACTGTCCAGCCCGTTATGGTGAGTACTGTCATTTCTGGTTTTGGTCTGTCAGAGACACGCCAGGGAATACCTGGAGGCCTGGCATTCCAACTGGAACTCCATCAACAAACACACTGAACTGGACCCGATATACAAACCACTGAAAAACAGAACTGGAAGTGATGCCAACCCCAGCAAGCTGAGGCATATAAATAACAATAGGGACAGAACACCAATGCTTCACCGGAGGCGCACTGACGATGTTACCTAGTAGGGTGACTAAATGTCTGCAACCAAACACACTGGCTCAGTGAGCAAGTCTACAATCTCATTCATGAATACCTCTTGACCTGTTCTGTGATATTAATTCAATTAACTCCTAATTTGAACAAAAAACATTGTTTAGAGAGAAGAAAGAGAAAAATATCAACCAATCAATAAATTTTTTTCCTTGTTAAGCCACATTTTGATTTGACCTAGTGGTATTATCACTGGACTGTTAATCCAGAGACCCAGATAACATTCTGGAGGCTCGGGTTCAAATCCTGATATGGCAGATGGTGGAATTTGAATTCAATAAATATCTGGAATTAAGAATCTAATGATGACCGTGAATCCATTGTTGATTGTTGGTAAAACCCATCTGGCTCACTAATGTCCTTTAGGGAAGAAAACTGCCATCCTTACCTGGTTTGGCCAACATGTGATTCTAGACCCACAGCAATGTGGTTGACTCTTAACTGCCCTCTGGGCAATTAGGGATGGGCAATAAATACTGCACAACAAGCGACACCCTCATCCCGTCAATGAATAAAGAAAAAAAAATCTATCCTCTTAATGTTTATGCATTACTCTCTCTAGCTCCCTTTTGTCCTTGCAATATTCTTTCACTGCTGTCTCACAGGCTTACTTTTATCCTCTCATTATTCTTTCATTGCTTCCCCTCATGATTCTTGCAATATACTCTTATAAGTTCAATTCGATCCTCTCACTATTTTTGCACTGGTCTCTCAAGTTTCCTTTCATTATTTCATTATTTTGCATTGCTCTGTCTCAAGCTCCCTTTTATTCTTTCACTCCACTGCTTTCCTTTCAGATTCCCTTTTATTCTCTCAAGATTCTTGCGTTGCTCCCCCTGAAGCTCAACTTTATCCGATCACTATTCTTTGACTGCTTGCTCTCCAGGTCATTTTTATTCTCTAAGTGGTCTTGCTCTTTTATCCTCTCACGTTTCTCGTACTGCTCTCTCTGGGGCTCACACTTTTATTCTCCCACTATTTTTATGGAAACTTCTCTCAGGATTCCTAACCTTTTCATCTTCTGAAGGAAAACAGTAAAACTTGCAAATGATACACCCTGGTCTGACTCATCTCGTGTACTTTAAAATGCAGTTCCCATGTGACCAGTATGTTCATAGATAACATACAGATGCAATGACACAAATACAAACCTAATAAACATTTGAAAGAGATTTAAATGTTTGTAATGGAACTTATTTTCGCCTAAAACATTGCCTCCAAGACTACCCAGAATTATACCACAACCTCGCAGGTGTGCACATACTATATTTTAGAAACTTGTAAACCAGAATCTGCCTGGCCTCTGAAAATCAAAAACAAATGGGTGCGGGCTCTACAGGACCCTCACATACAACATGACTGAAAGTTGCCATAATTTCAACTGTGCAGTTCTGGTCTGGCCTAGACCTAAAATGGGGAAAAGGTATAATTGAAAATGAATGGGTCTAGAGCAATCTCTCTAATTCCCTGATTTGCTCAGAGGGCCCTCAATATGCTTGTTTAATTTTGATACAGAGATGACATTTCTTTTCTATTTGGGTTAGTAAATATAATAGTCATTTGCTTAAAAGCACTGACAGGCATGCCTCATTTGGTAATCTCTCTAACCACTCACCAACTAGAAACACTGAACCATTCTGCAATCATATGAAAAATACTCACCAGATTGTGACATGGTTCAAAGACATTGCTGTGAATTATATGACATTGTTTCTCTGCCCAGGCCAAACGATATGGATTTAGCTCACACGGACGCAAAATTTCAGTCACATCTTGACATAAAGGCTCTTCCTTCCAAGTATTTGCAAATTCTAATGCATTGGAGGCCAAGTATTGGCTGCGAGTTATAAAATCATCTCCTATATCACCATTGAAATTTCCACATAGTCCACAGAGTGAAAGCTGTTGAGATGCAAGTGAATTAATATTTGCTGATTGTGCATATTTCTCAACACTGTATTCCTTGTGTTTTCTTTTTAGAACTATTTGTCTTGCTATGCTACATAACCTCTACTTCTTTCTCTTTACATGGAGAGAAACCAGACATTCACATAATGCTTCCACAAAGCAACAAGGCAGCCATAGAAATGTAGTAGCATAGACAATGCAGTCCATTAGTACACAATAACGTGCATTGATAGTTTGCATTCCCCCAAAAAAAAATGTATTAGTGATCCATCATTACAGCACCTGCACATAATTGATCCATCGCTCCCATAGAATGCATGTTACACAGAATATATGCAGGATAAAATCAGTTGTTGCACAGATTACACATTGATTACACGTTAATTTGAATGCTATAGGAATTACATGTGGGTGAGATGTGGTATGTCAGAAGTAAGACACTGAATAAGGTCAGATATTGCAGTTTTTACAAATTGCATAGGATTGGGTGAATTATGAAAGTTACAAGTAGCCTATGAGCAGGTATTACAGCAGTTTAATTTGGGTAAGATCATATATTGTAGAAGTTAGATAATGGGAATCTTATGGTGGTGTGTTAGTGACCTACCTTTAGGTTGGAAGGTCTAGATTCAAGACCCACCTGATCCAGAGATGCATCATGGAAAGTTTGAACAGATTGATTAAAAATAACAAGTTACACGTAGAGTAAGGATGACTAATATTGTGGTTTCATGTTAAACTCTATCACAAATTCTGGCCTGCTACATTATGCTTTCAATTGCAGGCAGCACTGGGAAATTAGTTGCTAATAAGTGTTGCTACAGCATGCAAATTCCAAAATCCAAAAGTTGCAGTTTGCCTAACTGGAATCTGTCAGTGCAAAAACTTGAGAAGATTGTGAGTCATTGACCCATTTTTTATGTTAGTAAAGTTGTTCCTAATATTATCATTAGTACTTTTCTCAGTAATTTAGAATATATTCTCTTCAGTCTGGGTGAGGTTTTAGGGTAGCTTACCTCTTCACCCATGTTTGTGCTATCCACTTTCCAAATAACTCCTCCTGTGTTGTGACAATGGCTTGGATCTTGCGGTTAGTGAGAACGTCGAAGCATATACCATTAAATGTGCGTAAAACTTCATTCTTACCCTTCTTATTGACTGTTATGGGAACTTACACACCCAACTGCAGTGTGAATCCATTGGTTAACAGACTGGAGGAGCCTAGTGCCGTGGTGAATTCCTGACAAAGCTAAACATCTTCTGAGGACACGGGAAAAGCATAATTTGAAGCCAAGACGTTCAGGAATATGAAAACACTCATGCCCCTCCACCACCCTAGCTTCTCAGTCCTAACAATGGGGTGCAGTGGTGGGGAGCTTCAATTGAAAATAAATCAAATAAAAAACTAAGAATTATTTAGAAAAATCAAGTGATGAAAGGTTAATGGTACATCATTAATTCTGAGACTATTATTAAGCTAAAAACCATGAGGGGCATTTCTTTAGCTAATGTTGTCAGAAGGGAGCATCAATGTATCCATGCAACAGTCAGGACAGCAAATTCCAACAACAGCCAACAAGAAAAGGAAAAGTATACTTACATATGTAGTCAACAGTGTATGCCTCTGATTTGTCACTGATCCTAAGATCCAGGGTGTTAACATGGTACAGAAGGAGGTAGTTGAATAATTGAGTCAGATAAATATAAATGAAGAGGAAATAGTTATGAGGTTAGTTGCGCTCAAAGTAGAAACATCACCCAGTCTGAATAGAATATGCCCCCAGGTTATTGAATACAGATGTTCTGGTGACAATCTTCAAGTTGGTCTCAGAGGACTACAGGATATAACAATGAAACATCTCTTTAATACACTGGAAACATGACAAATTATAGACCAGTCACCTTAAACCTGAATGGTAGGGAAACGTTTAGAGGCAATAATAAGGTCAACATTAACTTCATTTGGAAAACTACTGGTTTAGAACATAGAATAATACAGCACAGGAATAGGACCTTCAGCCCACGATGCTATGCCGAACATGACGCCAAAGTAAACTATTCCTTTCAGCCTGCCCTTGTTCCATATCCCTCCATCATTGCATATTCATGTGCTTATCTAAAAGTCTCTTAAATGCCCCCTATCATATCTGCTTCCACCATCACCCCTGGCACTGTGTTCCAGACTGTTTCCACTCTCTGCGTAAAACACTTGCCCCTCACATCTCCTTTCTACTTTCCCCCTCTCACCTTAAATGCACGCCCCCTAATTTTAGACATTTCAACTCTGGGAAAAAGATTCTGACTGTCAACCCTATCTATACATTTCGTAATTTTATAGACTTCTATCAAGTCTCTCCTCAGCCTCTGCCACTCCAGATAAAACAACCTGAGTTGTGTCCATCCTGGGCCTCCTCCAGTGCCACAATGATGCCACCCGAAGGTTGCAGGAACAGCACCTCATATTTCGCTTGGGAACCCTGCAGCCCAATGGTCTTAATATGGACTTCACAAGCTTCAAAATCTCCCCACCCCCGACCTCATCCCAAAACCAGCTCGGCTCGTCCCCGCCTCCTTGACCTGTCCATCTTTTCTCCCACCTATCTGCTCCTCTCACCTCAACTCCCACTCCCACCTCCTACCTACCAGCCTCATCCCCGCCTCCTTGACCTGTCCGTCTTCCCTTGACTGACCAACCCCCATCCTAACTCCCTACCTACACTCACCTTTACTGGCTCCAACCCCGCCTCCTTGACCTGTCCGTCTCCTCTCCACCTATCTGCTCCTTTATCCATCTTCCATCCTCCCCCTCGCTCTCTATTTATTTCAGAATCCCCTTCCCCTCCCCCATTTCTGAAGAAGGATCCAGACCTGAAACGTCAGCTTTCCTGCTCCTCTGATGCTGCTTGGCCTGCTGTGTTCATCCAGCTCCACACTTTGTTATCTCAGATTCTCCAGCATCGGCAGTTCCTACTATCCCCGACTTTTTCTAGCCTTTCCTTATAGCTCATACCCTCTAATCCAAGCAGCATCCTGGTAAACCTCTTCTGCATCCTCTCCAAAGGTTCTACATTCTTCCTGTAATGTGGCGACCAGAATTGAATGCAAGAGTGGCCCAAACACAGTTTTATAAAGCTGCAACATGACATCCTGACTCTTGTATTCAACTCCCCGACCAATAAAGGTAAACATACCATATGCCTTCTTTACCACCCTATCTACATGCGTGGCCACTTTCAGGGAACTATGGACTTGAACCTCAAGATCCCTCTGTGTATCAATGCTGTTCAGCGTTCTGCCATTAACTGTATACTTTTCCTTAACATTTGATCTCCCAAAGTGCAGCACCTCAAACCAATACGAATTAAATTCCATTTGTCATTTCTCCGCCTATATCTGCAACTGATCTATATCCCGCTGGATCCATTAACAACTTTCTACATTATCCACAACTCCACCGATTTTTGCATCGTCTGCAAAGTTACTAACCTATCCATCTACATTTTCATCCATGTTATTTATATATATCACAAATAGCAGAACTCCCAATATGGATCCCTGAAGAACACCACTAGTCACAGACCTCCAGCCTGAGAAACAACCTCCCAACACTGCCCTCTGGCTTCTATGGACAAGCAAATTCTGAATCCATGAAGCCAACTCATTGTGGATCTCATGCATTTTAATCTTCTGGATGAGCCTACCATGAGGGACATTGTCGAAAGCCTTATTAAAATCATTTAGACAACATCCACTGCTCTACCCTCAATCACATTTGTCACCTCCTTGAAAAATTCAATCAAGTTAGTAAGACATAACCTGCTCTGCATAAAGCCATGCTGACTGTCCCTAATTAGGCCAGGCTTTTCCAAATGCGTGTAAATCTTATCCCTCAGAATTCTCTCCAGTAGCTTCCCGACCACCGATGTGAGACTCACTGGTGTATAGTTTCCTGGATTATCCCTATTGCCCTTCTTGAACACAGGAACAAAAATAGCTGCTCACCAGTCCTCTGGGACCTCTTCAATGGCTAATCAGCATACAAAGATCTTGGTTGAAACCCCAGCAATCTCCTCTCTTGGCTCTCTCAGAACCTGGGGTAGATACCATTGGGCCCTGGGGACGTAACCACCTTAATGCTCTTCAAGAGACCCAACACCACTTCTTTCTTGATCTCAAAATGCCCTAGCATATTAGCATGCTCCACACAAACCGCAGTAGCCTTCATATCCTTCTCTTGGGTGAATACTGTCGCAAAGTACTCATTTAGGATCTCACCCACATTTTCTGCCTCCAAGCACAAATTCCCTCCTTTATCCTTGAGTGGTCCTACCCTCTCTCTAGTTATCCTCTTGTTTTAATGTATGTATAAAATGCCTTGGGATTCTCTTTAATCCTCCTTGCTAACATCATTTCATGGCCACTCCTTGCTCTCCTAATTCCCTGCTTAAGTTTTTTCCTGCTTTCTTTATATTCCTCATGGTCCTTGTTCAATTTTAGCTTCCAAAACCTTACATATGCTTCTTTTTGCCTCTGACTAAATTCACAACCTTCCTCGCTGTCCAAGGGTCCCTTACTTTGCCACCCTTGTCCTTCCTCTTTACTGGAACGTGACGGTCCTGAACTCTCATCAGCGGGTCTTTAAATAATTCCCTTATGTCAAATTTGGACTATCCTGATAACAGCTCCTGCCAATTAACACTCCCTAGCTCCTGCCTAATACTGACGTAATTTGTCCTCCCCCAATGTAGTACCTTGCCACAAGGTCCTGGCTTTTCCTTATTCATAGCTATCTTAAAATGTTAGGAGTTGAGATCACTGTTTCCAGAATGTTCTCCCATTGAAAGGTCAGTCGCCTGGCCAGGCTCACTAGCCAGTACAAGGTCCAGCATGGCCCCTCTTCTAGTTGTACTATCCACACACTGTTTCAAGAAACCCTCTTGGATGTACTTAACAAATTCTGCCCCATCTAATTTCACTTAAATCAGAGAATCCCTACAGTGTGGAAACAGGCCCTTCGTCCCAACAAGTCCACACCGACCCTTGGAGCATCCCACCCAGACCCATCCCCCTATAATCCACCTAAGCTATATATCCTGGAACACTATGGGCAATTTAGTATGGCCAATCCATCTAGCCTGCACATTTTTGGACTGTGGGAGGAAACCAGAACACCCGGAGGAAACCCACGCAGACACGGGGAGAATGTGCAAACTCCACACAGACAGTCGCCCGAGGGTAGAATCGAACCCAGGTCCTCCGGCGCTGTGAGGCAGCAGTGCTAACCACCGAGCCACCGTGCCGCTAATTTTCTGAAGAAGGGTCCCAACCTGAAACGTCCGCTTTCCTGCTCCTCTGATGCTGCCTGGCCTGCTGTGTTCCTCCAGCTCCACACTGTGTTATCACAGACTCCAGCATTGGCAGTTCTTACTATCTCTGCCCCATCTAAGCCTCTTACCCTAAGGGATTCCTAACCAATATTGGGGAAATTACAGTCACTCACTATGACAATTCTGTTTTCATTGCATCTTTCCATTACCTGCCTACATATTTGTTCCTCAATATTCTGGTGGCTGTTGTGGGGCCTATGGTATAATCCTATCAGAGTGAATGCACCCATCTTATTTTTGAGCCTTCTACTCATACTGCCTCAATGCATCAGCCTTCCAGTATGTCCTCTCTGAGTGCATGCCCCCTGACCAGAAATGCAATTTCTCCACCTCTTTTACCTTCTTCTCTGTCTCAACTAAAACAATGAAACCCTGGAACGTTCAGCAGCCCATCCTGTTCCTCCCTCAACCAAGTGTCCGTAATGACCACAATATCATAATCCCATGTACTGAACCAGGCTCTAAGCTCATCTGCCTTACCTATAATATTCCTTGTTTGTTAAATTGTATTTGGCTTACTAGTTAGAGATTTTTGACATAATAGAGGGCACGATTGGTGATGTTTTAATTGTGTAGATGGACTTTTCAAAAGGCATTGCATAGGTGTCATAATAGTAGACAAGTCAGCATATTTGAAACTTTTGGGATTAAAAGAGAAGTGCTTGCACAGACACAATACAGGTTGTAAGGCTATAAGCATAGAATAGTGGTTAGTAATTGTTTTCAGACTGGTGGAAAATATATATGGTGTTCTCTAACACAGGAGCCACCTTGTCGATTTTGTTTGATTTTCTAATGACCTGGACTTGGCATAACAGGCATAATTTCAATATTTATGTATGAAACAAAACTCAAATGCAGAAAATAGCAAGGATTGTAACAGACATCAGGAGAACACAAACATAGAGATGGAATTTAATGTGAAGAGATGAATTTTAGTATAAGTATGAAAAAAGACAATATGAACTAAATGGTTACATTTTAAAGAGGAAGGAGTTGGGTACAAAGAGACCTGATTATGTATGGGTACGCAAATCTTTGAGGGTACAGAAGACAAGTTGACAAAACTTTTAAAAATCTATATGAAATCCTAGGCTTTAAAAATAGATACATTGAGTGCAAAAACCAAGAAGTGATAGTAAACCTTTTAAAAATATTGATTAGAGGGTGTAGAATTGATTACTTGGAATAGCACTAGTGATGTGGGATTTCTGTTAGATGGAGATAGTAGATATCCTCAATTTGTTTCTTTAGACCACTGAGGTTAAGGGCTGATTTAATAGAAGTGTTCAAAACCAAGAAAGCTTTGATACGAATGAATGAGGAGAAACTGTTTTTTGTGGCAGAAGGATTGATTACCAGGGGACACAGCCTTAACGTATTTGGCTGAAGAACGAAAGACAAAATAAGGAGGGTTTTTCTTAACGTGAGTTGTTATGGTCAGGTATCTATCACCTTGAAGCTTACAGTCTAATGTAATAATTACAGCACAGAAATAGATCAATTGGCTGTAACAGCGTTTGTACTTCACATGAACTTCTTTCCACTGGGCCAATTTGTCTCACCCTCTCTCAACAGTAGGAAAAAATTCAATAATAATTTTCAAGAGGAACTTTGCACAGCAAACTTAGGGATAAATGGCAAAATGAATTGTTACTTTCAATGTGGTGGCTGTTATGATCCCTATAAATGGGAATAATCTGCGCTCAGTGCAACAAGTATAGCTATAATTTCTCTGCACCAAGTGCATTGCTTGCTTCATATGATAATGGTAAATGAATACATGGTTATCAATCTGTATGCAAATTATTGTGAACTATCATTCCTTACCTGTTGCATTCTGGTGAAGCGAATGAATGTATTTGTATTCTTGTTCCATAACATTTGTAGTAGGTGACCCCCAGGGATTACTACTTCGAGAGATACATAAAGTGGATTGATTTGGATGTTGAATTTGTCAGCTGCATTTTCAGGTGTTATCTTGTAGATTGCATCTCTCATTTCTATCAGAACATCCTTGAACAGAAGCAGATAGTTCAATTTTTAAATTCAGATACCTTTTTGCATTACCAATATAGGATTCTATCTGTTGGGATCTCTTTGCTTATTAATTGGTTTGATGACAGTCCAGATAGACTTGACTCTTTATTCTCGAATTTATATCCTTTTTAAGTTAGACAAGTTTAAAACAGGGCAAAGTGAGGGAGAATGGAATGGAGAGATTCCACTAAAGAATGAGAAGGACAGATTAACATGGGAGACAGAGACAAACACAGATTGAACAATTTGAATGAGTGAAACACACTGAGCCAGTGAGAGAATGTGAGTGACAGACTCATCCAGAAAGAGTAAAAGGCAGACCAATACAGAAAGAGGGATAGAGAGAGAGAGAGAGAGAGAGAGAGAGAGAGAAAGAAAGAAACAGTGAGCAACATGTTGATCAATCAAGAGTGAGAATGGAATAACCCAATGAATGGCAATAAAAAGGGGAAAATTAAACTTGTTTTGGAGATTTAGGAACAGTGTTAGTAGACTCCCAATGATGTATAGGGTGACCTAGTGAGGGACAGTAACCCAGTAAGTCTGACGAAGGGTCAGTGACCTGATGAGTATTAGCATGATGAACAAAACAAATGACCCAGTGAGGTAGTATAAGAATCTATTAAAATAGACTGAGTAACTGAGTAATGTAGTTAGAGAGAGAAAAAGACTGACACAATAAGAGGAGTGAAGAGGACACTGAAAGGCAAGGAAGTTGGGATGCAGTTCTCCAGCTATCAAAGAATTGGAAATCAGTGAGAAAGTTGGAAAAATGCAAGTGTTGAGCCGTGTATTGGGCTGCATATTAGTGGCCTATATTCTTCTTGAGAGTTCACAAGGCAGACTCCTGTTCCTTCTTTCTGCATCAATTTAAGAAAGGTTAATTCCAAATTCCTTTCTCATGTAGCATCCAGAATTCTTTTGAGACTTCTTGTCACTCAGTATAGATGAGTGATACATACTTCAATAATGTACCTCTTGAAACTGAGGTCAAAACCCCTGACACTTGTACAGGTTCTTGCTTGTTTGGCATGGGTTTCGTGGTGCCCTTGTTGAAGACCTTGGAAAAGGTGATAGAAGGTGGACTCTGATTTGTAACAAGTTTCTAAATGCAGCATTAGGTTTTTACAGCTGTAACAATTATTATCGTTGGAATTAAAATCTCCTGACAGGAGGAAAGAACTCACCTAGTGATACAAGTTGAGAGGCATAACCTATGCTAGTGATAGATCGAGGGAGCATATTTGTAACATTTGTGATGCAGCAATCCTGAACAACTCATCAAACGCTTGGCATGTAAATTATAAAAATTACAAAGATGTAAACATTCGGACAACAGTCTAAATTCCATCTACAGTTTAATAATTATTATTGTACCAATGCTTTTCAGAGAAACTTACTGCACCTGTGAGTTCAGTCTGATTGACTAAATCCTGTACAAATCAAATCTATGAATTGGCATTTGAATGCAGGCAACATATTGGTTCTCGCACCTAGTTATAAACTGTTGATACTGTAGATTGTTGGACTGGATTGTGACAGTAAGCAGTTGTGAGATTTTGTACTTGCTGCAGGAACTCAGACTGCCAGGCAGCCTAGGACCAGACTCTGGACTCTGACCCGAATACCCTCTAACAGCCTGATACTGCTGGTCGCCACCACTGTGGGCTTTGCCTCCTGCTCCACCACAGTAGTGACTAGAAATGATTGGCGGAAGATGACTGTTTAATAACATTCCCTCACAACCACCACCAACTGCCCCCAATCTTACACAACAGCTGATCTCCAGTTTTTGCTGCCTTTAGGTGTAGATCAATCATCATAGAATCCCTACAGTGTGGAAACAGGCCCTTCAGCCCAACAAGTCCACACCGACCCTTGGAGCATCCCACCCAGACCCATCCCCCTATAACTCACCTAAGCTACACATCCCTGAACTCTACGGGCAATTTAGCATGGCCAATCCACCTAAACTGCACATCTTTGGACTGTGGGAGGAAACTGGAGCACCTGGAGGAAACTCACGCTGACATGGGGAGAATGTGCAAACTCCACACAGACAGTTGCCCTAGGGTGGAATCATACCCAGGTCCCTGGTGCTGTGAGGCAGCAGTGCTAACCAGAGCCACCATGCCGCCCCATCTTGTTCTGACCTTGTTCTGTAGATCTTGTTCGGCGGGCACCACGTGGTGGTCAGCGTGCCCACATGTTAAAAGAATCCACACACAAGCATCCTCCGCCCAAATGATTTTTGGGACCTGGAATGCCAGGACCCTTATGGATAACCCTACTAATATCAGACTGGAATGTCACACTGCAGTCAAACACCGGAAACTCAGCACTCCAACATGGACATTGTCACCCTGAACAGGACAGGGCGGGGGAAGGCCTACTTCAAGTACAAGGTGGTCGTTACACCTTCTTCTGGAAAGGATAAACAGAAGAAGAATGCCATCTCCATGGCACTGTTATAAGAAACAAACTGGTTGGACACCTCAAATAGTCCTCCTTTGGGTGAGAAAGTGTCTCATGACCCGGCAAATTACTCTTGTCCGGAAGCAGCACATCACAACTGTCAGTGCCTACGCCCTGACCCTAGAAGCAATGGACAAGACAAAACAGACATTCTATACTAGCAGTGACTAAGTGCTGTCCTGTATCTCCAAGGAAGATAAGTTGATTCTTCTCGGCGACTTCAATGCCAGAGTTAGGAGGGACACAAACCTTTGGAAAGGCATGTTAGGCAAGGAAAGTGGAGGGAAACAAATTCCAACGGAGTCCTCCTCCTGATGAAGTGTCCAGAACATGACCTTATCATAAAAGTTCTGTTCCACCACAGGGGCAAGCAAAAGGCCTCATGGCAACACCGGCACTCCAAGCACGTCACCCAATAAAAACCATCATTCAAGTGAGGGAACTGCAAAGATGTCCATATTACCTATGCTATATGATAGGAGACGATGACTGCTGGACCAACTCTAACCCTCTGCACCATTTCTATCAAACTAGCCCTAATCCTGCAGAGGCCGAAACAAGTTTGTCACCAGAGATTCAGTGTTGATGGACTCTGAGACCCTGAGAAGAAAGAACAACTCAGGCAGCGCCTCATACCCAACATAGCGATGAACATCTGGTCCACCCTCAAAGCAGTCAGCACTTGCATAGGGACATTTGGCCTCTCTACTGGGAAACACAAAACTTGGTTCAATGAGAAAGATCAGGACATCTCCTAGACTACAAAATAAGGTGTCCCTGAACTGGCAGCTCCACCAAAACTGGAGCAAGAGGAAACAAGCCTATAGCCAACTGAAGGCTGAGATGCAACAAAGAACTCACGACCTAAAGAACAGATAGTGAATGGAAAGAGTGAAGGAGACTCAGCAACTCTCTGGCAACCACGCCATGTGTGACTTTTTCAGTCCAATCAAAGCCCTGTATGGGATCTACTGCCTTGGCAGCCAAAAACGAGTGTTGCTCATCAAGGACCAAGTGGAGACAGCACTTTGAGAACCTCCTCAACCCAGATGCAGCCTTCGATGTAAGTCATCCCATAATATACTACCCACACTTCCAACCCATGAAGTCAAAAAAGCCACATGGCAGCTGAAAAACATCAAAGCCTCTGGCACAGATTAAAACCCCTGAAATACTAAAATACGAAGGACAGGCACTTTTCAACACAAATCCACAATCTCATCTGAAAGGAAGTGAGCATGCAGGAGATCTCAGAGATGCCGTAATTGTGAGCATCTTCAAGAAAGGAGATAGGTCCAGCTACGGTAATTACAGAGGGATTTCTGTACTGTCAGTCATGAGAATCCTCCTCGACTCCTCCTCCATGTGGCTGAAGAGCTCCTTCCTGAGTCTCAATGCAGCTTCTGCCTCTAAAGAGGGACAATGGACATGATTGTCAGTGCATGAAAAATACAATAAAAGTGCAGGGAACTGCACCAACCTCCGTCCATTGCCTTCTTTGATCTCACAAAGGCCTTTGACTCTGTCAATTATAACGGATTGTCAGAGAGTCATACAGCATGGAAAAAGACCCTCTGGTCCAACCAGTCCATGCCGAACATAATCCCAACTAAACTAGTCCCACTTACCTGCGCTTGGCCGATATCCTTCCAAACATTTCTTATTCATGTACTTATCTAAATGTTTCTTAAATGTTGTAACTGAACCTGCAACCAGTACTTCCTCTGGAAGTTCATACCACACATGAAACACCCTCTGTGTAAAAAAATTGACCCTCTTGTCTTTCTTAAATCTGTCTTCTCTCACCTTAAAAATTTGCCCATGGTCTTGAAATTCCCCACTCTAGGGAAAAGACACCTGCCGTTCACCTTATCGATACTCTTTATTATTTTATAAACCTCTAAAAGGTCACCTCTTAACCTCTTATGCTCTGTTGAAAAAGTCCCAGCCTATCCAGCCTCTCCTTACAACTCAAACTCTCCATTCCCAGCAACATCCTGGTAAATCTCTTCTGAACCTTTCCAGCTTAATAATATCCCTCCTATAACAGGGAGACCAGAACTGGACACAGTTGGAATGTGTGGAATGTGGAATGTCCTCCTCAAATTCAGCTGTCACAGAAATTCGTCACCATTCTCCAGCTGCTTCACGATGACATGCAAGCTGTGATCTCACCAATGAATCCACCATAGAGCCAACATAAGTGCAATGTGGGGTCAAGCAGGGTTGGATCAGATCACCAACACTCTTCTCCATCTTCCTTGCTGCAACACTCCACCCCACCTCCATGCAGCTTCCTGCCGGAGTAGAGCTAACCTACAGGATAAATGGGAATTACTCAACCTTCGCCTTCAGGCCAGAACCTAGACTGCCCCAACTTCTGTCACCTGTCTGCAGTACGCACTTGATGCCTGTGTGTGCACAGAGGCTGAGATACAAACCATCATTGATGCATTCCTGAGAGAAGGGGCCTCAGACTAAACATCCAGAAAACAAAGTTTCTCTACCAGCCTGTTTCTGCCATGCAACAGTACCCCCGACCATCGAATTTCACGGTGAGCTCCTGGGCAAGATAGAGAATTTTCCAAATCTTGGGAGCCTCCACTTGGTGTGAATAAACATTGAGAATGAAATCCAACTCTAAATTCGACTCCAATGCGCCAATGCAGCCTTCAGACAACTGAGGAACAGAGTATTCCGAGACTTCAAAACCGCCAACTGATCTACAGAACAACCAGGATCCTCAGCCTCCTGTACGCATCAGAAACTTGGACCATGTAAAGCAGATGCGTGAAATCCCTGGAGAATTATCATCAGCGCAGCCTTCATAAAATCCTTGAAATCCATTGGCAGGAGAGGCTAACCATCATGAGTGTCATCTGCCAGGCTAATATATCCAGTATTGAAATGTTGGTCATGCATGCCCAATTGCGATGCTGGATCACATGGTGTGCATGCCTAACACAAGACGCATAGAACCACAGAATGCAGGAGAGCAGGAATAGTCCATTTGACCCTTCAAGTCTGCTCCACCACTCAATATCATCAAAGCTGATCAACTCAGTAGCTTGTTCCTGTTTTCTCCCCCTATCCTTTGGTCCCTTTAGTTTGAAGTATTTTATTTATATTTTTATTGGAAGCCTTCTGAGGCTTTGGACTCAACAGTTTCCTGCGGAAGCAAATTCCTCAGTCTACCACTCTTTGAGTGAAGAAATTCCTCCTCAACCCTGTCCTAAGTGCCTAACCGTTATCCTTAGATTGTGACCCTTGGTTCTGGACACACCTGCATCTACTTTTATCTAATCTAGTTAGAATTTTATCGGTTTCTATGAGATCCCCCCAATGATACTTCTAAAATCTAGTGAATATAGCCCTAACTGCGATAGTTTTTCCCTGTATGTCAGTCCTGTCATACCAGAAATCAGTCTGGCAAACGTTCTTTGAACTCCTTCAATAACCAAAACTGCACACAATACTCCAGGAGTGATCTGACTGATACCCTATGTAGTTGCAGCAAGACATCACTGCCCCTTTGCTCAAGTCCTCTTGCTATGAAGGCAAAGATACCATTTGCTTTCTTAACTTCTTGCTGCACCTGACTGGTGTATGATGTCATCCAAATCTCATTTGCACGTCCCTCTTTCCCAATCTATTGCAATTCAGATAATAATCTGCTTGCCTGTGTTTGCTACAAAAGTGGATAACCTCACATTTATCCACACTCTACTGCAACATGCCATGTATTTGCTCACTTACTTAACTTGTCCAAATCACACTGAAGCTTCTCTGCATACATCTCACTGCATAGCCTCCCACCAAACTTTGTGTCATTTGCAAACCTGGAGATATAACTTCAGTTTCTCTATATAAATCATTGATATATATTGTGATTAGCTGAGATTCAAGTACTGATCCCTGTGGTAGCCCACTAGTCACTGCCTGCCACTCAGAAAATGACACATTTTTTATTCCTACTCTTTGATTTCTGTCTGTGAACCAGTTCTCAATCTATTTTAGTACAGGTCACCCAAACCCATACACTTCAATTTTACATGTTAATCTCTTATGTGGAAACTTATTGTGGGAATCACTTGCCCTAGAACACACAAACTGGAGAAGAAGCACCATGAAAGTGCCAATCACTTTAAGTGTAATCAAGTGGTTACATGGAGGCCAAGCACAAGCAGTGGAAAGAGTGCACAGAACCCAGAGCTTCCCACCCACCCTCCTTCTCAAACATACCTGCCCCACCTGAGGCATATTCTGTGGCTGCAGGATTGGACTACTCAGTCACCAGAACCCATCTACCCAGAGTGGAAGCAAGTTATTCTCAATCTGAGGAACTGCTGAGAAAGGAGTTTCTGTACTGTTTCAATCACATGTCTGCAGTCCAGCTCAATTCACAGTGAGAATGACTGCCAGCAGCCACGTTTTCCCATCCTTCCTCTCATTGTACTTTTGGCTATCTGCTAAAACTGCTGTGTGATCTCATCTTTCCATAACAACGTGAGGGTATTTTCAGCTCTGACGTGGCAACACTGGATCCTTTCAGATCTGCAATGTGGTCAAACAGGACAGGTCCATGCATGTTCAAGAAAGCAATCATCCTGTCAATCCCCTCAACCAAACTGGTGTCATACCCTTCACACTGAACGGGAATCACACTCTCAAACCAATCTGGTGTCACACTCCTCACACCAAACTACTGTCACACTCCTCACACTAAACTGGTGTCACATTTCACACACAAAACTGGTGTAATACACCTCACACCAAACTGGTGTCACAATCCTCATACCAAGCTGGTGTCACATTCTTCCTTCTTTCTTTATTAGATCTTCAAACATCTCGAAGGACATCCTTTGAGCTGGCTTTCTAAATGTTGAAGTAGAGATTGCTTCATTTTCGTCTGAAATATACCCACTGCCACAGATTGGATGGAAAACACTGAAGCAATAAACTAACTAAATGGCTTTATTAAAAGCCACTGACCACATGCTTTGTGTACTTCTGGGTCTCCCGTGCAGCTCTAGATCACTGCTACCAGTTGTCTGAAAATTAATAATGAATCTTTCAAGTCTCAGTGAGCATTCTTCAATCTGATTGATTGAATTTGATGCTTACCCTGCTCATACATGGAAGTGGAGAGAGGTATGTTAAAAAGTACCTCCAGTGATATAACTTGTCACTGAAAAGATGTGAATGAAGTGTTTTTGCCACCTATTTATCTGTCATATTTGGTTCACTGTTTCAATACTGTGTAGTGTGGGTGACTGGACATTGAGAGGCCACACTGTGGCATGGAAGACTCATGATTTGTTCACCACTCCAACTCCTCCAATCATAGACTTTACCTCTCCTGCCCTTACTACTCCAGCTAGTCTAATTACAGACTTTGTCTCTGCTATACTTGCTGCTCCGTAAGTTACAAGGTCTGTAATCGGAGGAGCAGTGATGGTAGGTGAGACAGGTTATATGTTTGGAGGAGTTGCTCTCCTTCTTTCACATGAGTTCTCTGTTACTGATGGCAATGCAATTTTTTGAACTCTGAGGACCGTCAGCATAAACACCTATAATGGTAAATTTCTGAGATGTGCAAATTGGACATCTATCAAACGGTGGCAATTTCTCATCCTTGCAGTCCATGTGATTCTATAATCTTAACATTAACATGATTTTATTATCTCAATATTAATATCGGTCCTTATGTTACCACGTTATTCATATGATTGTCTTACCCCAATGTATATCTTTATTGCTCTGGAGCAGGTCACTCCTGATTGGCCACAAATAACATTTTCAGACACAATCTTAAAATTTGGGCGTGTTTCATTTGCACAGCATGAGTCCTAAAATGCAGAAATAAGTAAACATAATTAGTTACTCTAAAGGAAATCGCAAACCACAAAATAAATCTGAAATGATTCCGAAAACAATAACCTTTGAATTTCTTGCCTTATTACCTGAACCAAGGTGTATTCACAGTTCCCATTGAAGATAAATTTCTTGCCATCAAATGTAGTAACATGCCCTTCACCATGAATGACACAAGTTGCAGGGCAGTGCACATTTGCTATGCATTTCCATTTGCCACTGTGACAGACACTGTTGGACAATAAAGCAACAATGAAACAGATCAGGTATATTCAGCGATAAACCAATATAAGTCTAAGGATTTCTACCAGGCATTTAAAAGGAGACAACTTCAATTATTTTTAATACTCGTGATTAGAAAATAAAAATGCTAACTCAGAATTGTATTCTTCATTGTCAACATGTTTATAGGCCTTGTCCTGGAGAGAACTGTCAATAATTCAATGAGAAATCCAGAATTACAGTCATGAACAGTCAGAGTCTAAAATGTTGTGCTCTGTGGACAACAAATTGGTGGATGTTCAAGGTCATTATTTAAAGATCCAGTGAATGGAATTACTGCGACCATCCTCTTTGGATGGGACAAGCAGAGCTGAATGTGTTTGATGTCTATTTCCATCTTATTAACACTTCCAGACACAGAGAACCTGTTTTTGGTCAGTGCATCGATGTGGTTTTTTTGGCTTTAATATCTACTTCTGCCAGCCATTGGGATTACAGGATTAATCTGTTAGGTACTTGAATGTGAAACATTAAGATGTGTTTATTTTACTATTTCTTACTGATTCCTCAACTTCCTTTCCTTCCATAGCCTTGAAACTCACACATGAAGTAACAGCACTCTCAGGGTTCCGTTTTATACTAGGTCTTGAGGGACAAGATGGGAAGTTGGAGTGATCACATTAAATAGTGATGGAAAACATGGTGTGGAATACCCATCACTTTCCTAACATCATGGGGTTTTATCAGCAGTGGGTAAGGTGGAAAATGGTCTACCATTCCAGAGGCCAATTGTGCCACTTCAGTGGTGAATTAAGGGTCTCTTCCTGTTGAAGTTGGTATTTTACCAATAGTGGGTAAATGATTCATCACATAGGACAGCATCCCTCCCCACAGCAACAATAATAGTTGACCCCTTGTCACTCAATACTCTTATCCTCACCAATCGTCCATCCCAATTCTCAGTGGGGCCTGCCTGGCCTGCCCTGATGACAACAGACTCACTTACATATCTGCAAGTGCAGCATCCATTGGTGGGTCCTCTCAACTGGTGCAATCCCAGCAGTGGCAACCACTCCTAACAGTGCTGTAATGGCTGGAACTAGGTTGAGCTCATTAACTACGAGGTTCTTGATTGGGGTTGTTAACCTGGGCCAATCAAGAAAGCTCTGGCTGACTAATACAATAGAATCTCCTCAGTTGTAGACTAATCCTGAGCTGGCTGGCCACAGCCAGTGTACTGTGTACTAGTAAATAAAGGGTGACTTGGTGACAGGACCTGGCCTCTGTGCAGTTATTTCAGTGGCACCGGGAGAAAACAGGAAGTGCCTGAAGAACATTTGCTTGCAACTGTCATCTTGGAGTTGGGGTAAGCATTTCTGGTATCATGCCTCTTTTTGGGAAGCTTGACTCATTTGACCCTGCTGTTGAAGATGGGGACCAGTATGTTGAAAGAATACAATATTTTTTTCCAGGCAAATGACATTGGGGCAGATGAAAAGTAATGAGTAATCCTTCTGACTGTGTGTGGACCTGCAACATTTTTGGTTATAAGGGGCTTAACTTGTCCAGAGGCAGCATATACTAAAACTTTCCAACAGTTGACCAATTTGGTTAAGGAATGTTATGACTCCAAACCTCCTCTAATCCTGAGACCCTATCATTTTATTCAGCTGTTAGAGAACCGGGGAAATCCATATCTGGATTTTTGACAAGGTTACGACGACTGGCAGAGGCATGTGAGTTTGGGTTAACCCTGAATGAGATGCTGACAGACTGTTTGGTATGTGGGATTAATGACATAACCATGCAGAAGCACCTACTAGCTGAAGCCCAACTGGACTTCAGACAGGCACTACAAATGACCTTGTTATTAGAATGTGTGTCAAGTAGAGCATGGGAACTGCAGAGTATCCCAATGGAAGTAGACAACATCACCTGTCCAATGGAGCTTGGGGAACACCACTTGAATTTAGGCAATTGCAGGCCCTCATGAAGGGCATGTCCTGAGCAGAGGGATTCTAGGCCAATCCATAGCAGAATCCCACAACAAAGCCGAGTCTTGGCCAAGTGGCTAAACAGTTCTTCTGAATCTGGGCTAGCACACCATTATAGCTACTGCCTGTAGGCAGATTCGAGACAGCAAAGGACTCCCACGAGGCCTGACTTGTGTAGGAAAACTCAGAGGCTGGAACCCAGGAGAGTGCACGCCCTCTAAAATTCTCCTACATGTGGGTTGGAACAATTAAATTGCTTAGTGACACCCAAATTGGAGTCAATTAAAATTGATTGTAGTTGTATTTGCAAAATCTGTCTTTAACAAGATTCACTCAAGACTCCAACCTTTAAGCTTGCGTAAGACCTCAGCCAGACTGAGAATATACACTGGGGAACTGTTGCAAATTAAGGGTACGACTTCGGTTCCAGTCTCCTATGAAAAGCAGTTGGTGCAGTTACCGCTGATGGTAGTAAAAGGCTTGAGCCCAAACCTATTGGGGTGGAATTGGGTGAGAAAGATTTGCCTTGATTAGCTCAACATTTTTCGATTGGAAAATGGCTGCCTCAGTGAAGCACTAATGAATTACCCCAGAGTTCTTCAAGAAAGGCTTGGAATTATCAAGGGGGCCAAAGCCACTTTACATGTTGACCAGTAGGGAATTCTGAGACTTTGCAAGGCCCACTCATTGCCATTGCCTGCAGGCAGAAGTAGAGGCAGAAATCAGGAGGTTGAAGAGTGAAGGAGTCATCAACACAGTGCAGTTTGAAGAACGGGCAGCACCAGTCAAGCCGACTGTGAAGCTTGACAGTGCAGTTTGGCTTTGCGGGGATTTCAAGCAATCAGTAAACCACTTCTCACAGCTAGATAAATACCTGATTCCTCGCATAGAGGGCTTGCATGCAAAGTTGGCGGATGGGGCTGTCCTTTACGAAGCTGGACATGAGCCACGCCTATCTGCAATTGAGACTGGATGAGGAGTCGCAGAACTATGCTCCAAATAATACCCATAAGGACTTGTATCAATATGCAAGATTGCCCTTTGGGGTACCATCAGCCTGTGCCCTTTTCCAGTGGACCATGGAAAACATTTTACAAGGGCTGTCCCAGGTTGCCATTTATCTGGATGATGTACTAATAACAGGGAAGACCAAAAAAGAAAACTCTGAGAACTTGGACATTGTGCTTAAATGTTTCTCCCTGGCGGGCGTATGCCTTAGACAGGAAAAGTATGAGTTTCAGGCGCCCCAAGTGACTTTCTTGAGTTACAGAATCGACCAAAACCAGGTTACACCTGTTGGAAGAGAAAGTGAGGGCGACCAAACGAGCCCAGTTCCCACGTTTGTACTGGAGCTTAGGTCTTTGCTCAGGTTGGTGAAATATGACAGAAAGTTTATACGTAACCTGGCCTCCACCTTTGCATCCTTACAACTGCTGTTAAAAAAAGGCCAGCCTTGGTAATGGTCGCAAAGCCAAGATGCAGCCTTTAGGGAAGTGAAAAAGCAGCTATCATCATCTAAGGTGTTGCCCTACAACGATCCAAAGTGAGAATAAGTGCTGACATGCATTGCCTCCCTGTATGGCATCAGGCTAGTGCTGGCTCACTGGTGGCCCAACAGAGAGGGATGCTGTTGCGTATGCTTCCCAGGCATTGGCTGATGTCAAATGCAAGTATGCCCAGGTAGAGAAGGAAGGTTTGGTGGTCATCTTTGGTGTGATGAAGTTCCACCAGTACCTTTACTGATGGGATTTTGTCATAGTAACAGATCACAAACCCCTGCTAGGGCTACTGAAGGAAGACAAGGCGGTGCCACCCATAGATTCTGGTAGAATTCAGTGTTGGACCCTTATTTGCAGTGCTTCCAAGTTGCCTTGAGCCGCCTCCCACTGGCAGATACTCCATCAGTGGTGCCTCCCCTGGAAGAACCCCTTTTTGGTTTTAAACTTACTGGACATATTTCCAGTCACTGTGGACAATATCTGATTGTGGATACAAAAAGATCCTGTCCTAGCGAAACTAAAACAGCTGGTGGTAATGGGGGTAACAAGGGCCATTGCAATCAGGATTGAAACATTTTCGGACCTAGCGAGACCAGATTGCTGTAGAGGACAGCATATTACTGTGGGGACCAAAGGTGATAGTCCCAAGTAAAGATTGCCACTAGATACTGGCCGAACTCCTCCAGGGTCATCCAGAGGTTACCAAGATGAGGATGCTAGCAAGAAGCTGTGTCTGATGGCTAGGGTTGGATGCTAACATAGCTGCGTCGGTGGGACAGTGCCCAAAGTGCCAAGAAGGACATAAATTGCCACCAGCAGCACCCCCACATTTGTGGGAATGGCCGAGTAAACCCTGGACTCAGTTGCATGTCGACTACGCCAGTCCTTTCATGGGATCAATGTTCCTGGTCATTGTGGATGCCCATTTAAAATGGTTCAATGTGCATAAAGTTCGATCAGTAAACTCCGGGATGATGACTGAGAAGCTGCAAGCATTTGTTTGCGATACATGGACTTCTGGAAGTATTGGTCACGGACAATGGGATGTCGTTTACCAGCAGGGAATCTGAATATTTCCTAAAGCCCAACAGCATTCGGCACATAAGAACAGCTCAATTCCATCCATCGTCCAACAACCTAGCAGAAAGAGTGGTCCATATGTTGAAGGCAGGCTGAAAGAACCAGTCCACAGCGCCATCTGAGACCAAATTGTCCCAGTTCCTTTTCGATTATAGAACCACCCCACATGCAACAACAGGGATTGCTCCAGCGAAGTTGCTGATGGGGAGAAGACTCTGCACTAGATTAAACCTGGTATTTCCAGACCTAGGGAGGGGGGAATGGTGAAATGGCAGCAGGAATGCCAACACCAGCCAAATGCCTCCTCTAAGCGAGAGAGACAATTCAATTCATGGGATGAAGTTTGGTGCTTGAACCATGGGAATGGCCCTGTATGGGTACAAGGTGAGGTTGACGTGAGGTCACGTCCCATGATTTACAAAGTTCAGGTAGGAGATACCATCCAGAACAAACACGTGGATCACCTGAAAGCCGTTACCTCGCAAATGGGGCAGGAGCAAAACCTACCTGGCCGCTCAGAACAGCCCGAAAGCTTGGTAGAAACTGCAGGTGCTCCCCTCCGCCTATTGTCAAGGAAACCTTAGAGTCCAAAATGGATGCAGCCCCGATGCCGTTGCCACCGGAAGAAGAGGAGCAGATGCTTCCAAGATGTTCCGGACACAAGAGACCGGCCATGGGCTGGTACATACCACCTGTGTCTGAGTCCGAATCAGAGAAATTGAATCTGGGATGAAATCATCACAAGAGAAGCCACAAGAGAAAGATCAGGCCTATATCCCTGGACTTGTGGGGTGTGGAGGAGTGGAGGGGTGTTGTGATTGGAACCAGGTTGACCTTGTTAACTGGGGTCTAATCAGGAAGGGTCATTGGGCCTGAAATGTTACCTCTGATTTTTTTCTTCACAGATGCTGCCAGATCTGCTGAGCTTTTCCAGCAACTTCTGTTTTTGTTCCTGATTTATAGCATCCACAGTTCTTTTGGTTTTTGTTTTAAAATCTCCTCAGTTGTGGACTGACTCCTGAGCAGGTTGGTTACAGCCAGTGGTACTGTGGATTCTTTCTCACTTTTTGAGAAATGATTTCCAGGCTGGCTAAGTCACAGCCAGTGCTACTGCTGGATTTTAATTCTCAGTAGGAACTTTTTTTAAACTGGCTGGTTAGCCAGTGTATTGTTGTTTTTGGAATTGAAGCAAAGATGACTTGGTGGTAAGGCTTGCTCCTTGTACCACAGTTTTAAGTATTTGGACTTTCTTTTGCATGTATTTTCACCTTATTGTGTCTGGACTGAGACTCCATGAGTCAGCTGTGCCTTGAGTGGACTGTTTCTGTGAGTGTGCTAGGCCTCTGGTGGATCAGGCCCTCTGTGGGTTGGCTGTATCCTTGAGTAGGCCTGGCCTCTGGGCATCTGCTGTGTTTCTGCGAGTGGACCAGGCCTCCAGAATGGACTGAGTATCTGTGTGTTTGCTGCCTTTGGGTGTGAACTTGGGCCTTTGGGTATGGACTGTTTGGATTGTTTTGTATAAACTGTGTTTTGTGTCCCTGGGTCTGGCAGCTCTTACTGAGAGCTGGATGGTGGGTAGGTTGCCCTGAGACCCGGAACGTGTGTAGATCACACTGAAAACTGCCCTCCTGGGGAGGCATAGGGATGGGCCGTCCTAGAGGTGGCCGGAAGGTGCGTAGGGGCAGGCTGTGAACCGGAAGGTGTGTAGGGTAGGGTCACTTAGAGGTGGTCGGAAGGTGAGTAGGGGCAGGCTGTTTGCTGGTCAATCAGGGATGTTGGTGTTGCATGTATTGCTTTTTTTTTTGTTTGTATCAATTTATTTCATATGTACTTTTGTCTAAAATTTTCTCATGGTGAATTACAGTGGGATTTGGGGTTTGGTTATCATTCCCTTTCCCCTGTAAATTGTTGACTGATTTGTTAACTACTGCACGGTGGGATTTGGGGTTCATTTCACTGTCCCCATTTCCCTATAAATTGTCATTTGCTTTGATGACTGTCACCTTGATTTTTGTTTTGTATCTTTGTACAGTTTAATTAAAAAGTATAACTAGGGGATTAGAATCTCCTCAGTGGTAGACTGATTCTGAGCTGGCTGACCAGCCACAGCCAGTGTACTGTGCACTCTTAAATAAAGGGTTACTTGGTGATGAGCAGTTGGTTGTCTGATTGGATAGTAGCTCTTAAGGACATGCTTCAATCCTTTAAAGGGGCAAGGTGCTGACAGAACTAATTAAGTACAAATTTGGGACTGAAATGTCATCAGGGGTCCCCAGATGGCCAAAGCAGGATTGCCAGGATCCTTGCTGATCATCAACATTCCTCACCACCATTGTTTTCCAGCCCATTTGAAAGCTCTTGTTGCTGTGATAATATTCAGCATTTAAATACCCCAGTTCCCTCTTTTTTCTGCCTTCTACCTGGCATATGGCCCTTAGAATTGTTTATTTAACTTCCAAGGTATTACTGTTAATATCCTCATTTCCACCCAATTGCTCACCATCTTCCACTTTTTCATCTTCAAGTTTGAGGGCTGCAAGCTTGACAGCACATGCTAGACAATTAACATTCAATCACCAGCTTTGGCTCATGTTTTTTGAGACACAATTTCCGACTGCTGAAGGATCACACAGAAGGACAGAAATACCATGACAAAGCACTTACTCAAATTCTGCCCATTCCCTCTCCTTGCTGACCCATCATCCTAATACTTTCAATAGAATACTATTTCAAAAAGTATCATAGATTTCATTGGCCTCAATAACTCCCAAACACGTTCCAGCTCTAGTTCACCTAATGCTACAGTATTCTGTGGATTGCCATCTCCCTCCATGGCCCTTTTCACATTCACTTCTTCCATGAGACACATCTGTTTTGATCTTTTGTGATAGAACACCACTTATTGGGAAGTTAGACAGTGGGACATTGTTAATGTCACACTTTAGGTACTACTTCTCCCTATGTAAAAACTGTCACCATTACCCATTTCCTCCAATAAGCAAACCTTGAATCACTGTTCTCCATCTATTGTCACATCTATATGATACCATCTCTCTCAAGACTCCCTCTGTCGATGTCTACAGTTTGATTTTAGCTTTTTATCTCATTTTGTTTATTGTTTTGTGGGATCTGGTGTCTAGGCCACCACTTATTGCCCATCCTTATTGCCATAGAGATGGTGATGGTGAGCTATCTTCTAGAATTACTGCTAGAATTGGGTACAGGGACCCCACCATGCTGTTAAAAAGTTAGTTCCAAGATTTTGATCCAACGACAGTGAATGAATGGTGATGTAGGTCTAAGACAACAGGCTCGAATGGCCGTGTTCCTTGCATTTACTGCCCTTGTCCTTCTAGGGATCAATGTTACAGGTTTGAACGGTGGTGTCAAAGGAGTGTTCAAGTTACTGCAATACATCTTGTAAATTGTATACATGCTGTCGGCGGCAAAGGGACTGAGTTTGTGGATGTTGTGTCAATCGTGAAGGCTGCTCTGGCCTGAATGGTGTCAAGCTACTTGAGTGTTGGAGTTGCACCCATCCAGGCAAGACTCCCAACTAGTGCCTTGTAAAAGGACCAGCTCTGGAGACAGGAGGGGAGTTACTTGCTACAGATTCCTAGCCTCTGACATGCCTTTGTGGTCACATTAATATGGTTTGTCCAGTTCAGGTTCTAGTGAATGGTAACTTTCAAGATGTTGATAGTGGTGGCATCAGTGGTACACATCAAGGGTTGGTTAGATTCTCTCTTATTGGAGATGTCATTGCCTGGCACTATGTGGTGCACATGTTTGTTGCCTGTTAACAACCCAAGTCTGAATGTTACCAAGTCTGTCTGCATACAGACACACACACTATTTCAGTGTCTGAGCAGTCACAAAGGGTGTTAAACAGTGTAATTATCAGAGAAGATCCTCATTTCTGACCTCTTGATGGAGGGAAGGTCATTGAAGCAGCTGAAGATGGGACAGTATCCTGAGGAATTCCTACAGAGATGTCCCGAAGCTGTGATGACTGACCTCTAAACACAAGATTTTACTTTGTACTAGGTATGACTACAGTGAAGAATTTTTCCCCAATTTACACTGACTTCAAGTTTGCTTGGGTTCTTTGCTACTACACACAATCAAGTGCAGCCTTGATGTTACGACTCCTTGGAGATGGAAATCAAGCCCTACTATTCCCGGAGTCAGCATAAATATGAAAATTTGATTAAATCACTGACTTGCCCAATTTTACCTAACTAATTGAGGTGAGAAGAATGTGCACCTCAGGTTTTTCACTTAACAAGAAAATAATGTTATTATAATCAAACTATTTATTAACCAATCACAAGATGAATTGCTAACCTATAACTCAATGCGCTTTAGGGAAGGAAACTACTATTATAAAGTGATCTGGCCTACATGTGACTCCAGACCCGCAGCAATGTGGCTGACTCTTAACAGCCCACTGGGTAAACAGGAATATGCAATAAATGCTGGTCTAGTCAGCAACAACCCTATCTTGTGAATGATTATTTAAAAAGGACTTGACAACTTAAACTCTAATCTCATTTTAAAATCCCATAGACGGGCATAATAATGTACAAAGAGAAAAGATGAGGCATACATGTTAGGTGTGGGGAAAGAACAAAGATCAAAAGAAGAATAGTTCTAGTGCCAGTCTGGATCAGAGACAGTGATGGGTTGTTTTCTTTCAACTACAGAAGCTGTAGATATATTGACTGACAGTTCTGAAGTGTCATACCAGTCAAGTATGTTTCACTCTCCTCGGATAACACTGGACCTGCAGAGTTTCTCCAGCTTTTTCTGTGTTTGCTTGCTCCATATTTCTTGGTTTAAGGCAATATTGTTTCCCACTTCTTAGACCCAAGTGCAAAACAAAGTGTTCTTTACAATGTTACGTATGGTCACTGTCACCTCACTTGTGGAGTTCCAACTTTTAGTCTGTATGGACCAAGGCTGTAATGAAGTCAGGAGGTGGTGGAACACAATCTGAGTACAAGTGAGCAGGTTATTCCTAGGCAAATACCACTTCATAGCATTGTCAACGATCCCTTCCATCATTTTGCTGATAATCAAGAGTAGACTCTAATTGATTAGATTGGATGTCAGTGTCCTAGTGGTCTACAGCACAGGAAAATGCTTTTTGGCCCACTGAGTCTGCACTAGTCAAAAACAACCACCTAACTATTCTAATCCCATTTTCTAGCATTTAGCCTATACCCTTCTATCACAAGAGTACATCTAAATACTACTTCAACATTGAGGGTTTTTGCCTCTACCAACCTTACAGGCAGAGAGGCCCAGATACCTACCATCGTCTGGGGAGGGGGGAAAATCCTCATCCCTTCTAAACTTCTTGACCCATACCTTATATCTATGCCCCCTGGTCATTTATCCCTCCACTTCTCCTCGCTATGCCCTTCGTAATTTTATATATCTCAATCTTATCCCCTCTCAATCTCCTCTGCTCCAAGAACACTCCAAACGTGTCCAGCCCCTCTACCTGTTACTTGCCTGTGATACCAAAGGTTCCAGCTGAGGAGGATCAGCTTGATCTCACTAGGACTCTCCCAGTAGACCTGGGCTTGTGAGGCCTAAATGACTCCAGTGATGACAGTCAAGCTTTCCAGGCCAATATGGCCAACTTCGGAGCAGGCTCCCTTCACATCAGTCTGTGGCCCTAGCTATTCCACATTCCAGCACTGCTTGCTATAAGTTAGAGCCAGGTTTTATACCTTATCTGACCATTAATGACATTGTAGTGTGAAAGCTGTACGCTACATCATGAGTACTGATGCCCATGAAACATTTGTATCTTCACTTCCTTTGACCCTGGGATGGCCAATAACTAAAATAAGATTGTCGCTGGACTCATTTCTGTTTGAAATCACCCACAACCTGTCATACATGTATTTGACCCTAGAACACTGGGCCTCCGAATTAACAGTTCAATGACATTACCATGACAGCACTGTCTCTATTCTCCTCCTATTTACAAGGTCAAGCATTCCCTAAAGCCTCAACTTCTGCAATTTCAAAGCATTTTTTAATATAAATGGGGTTTATGCTTTAGTTTGTATATTTCCTCTCCTCTTCCATCCTACCAAAATGTATTATTTCACACTACTCTGCATTAAATTTCATCTGCCATGTTTCTTCATTTCATGTCCTCCTGAGGTTTGCCACTTCTTTCACAGTAATTCCAAACTTCATACAATTTGCAAACTTTGAATTCAAGTTTTGTATACCCAAATCCAGATCTCCCCAACATAATGATATCAAATTTATTCAGAGTATTGACTGGCTCTGCCAGCATTTATTGCCCATCTCTAATTACATTTGAAACAGTAGTGGTGAGCTGCCTTCTTGAACCACTGCAGTCCATGAAATGGGGCACACTCTCAGTATTGCTAGCAAGGCAGTTCCAGGATTGTGGCTCAACAAGAGTGATAGAATGATGATAAATTTCTAAGTTAGGATGGTGTGTCTTGGAGGGACCTTGCAGGTGGTGGTGTTTCTACGCATTTGTTTCCCTTGTTCTTCCAGCTAGTAAAGGTCATGGATTTTCCTGTTTCTACAAACCTTTTGGAGATTTTTGACAATGAAACTAGCAGATTAGAAAAAGGGGACCAGTTGATGTGGCATATTTAGATTTTCAGAAAGCTTCTGGTAAGGTACCAAGCAGGAAAGTAGTGAATAAAATTAGAGAATGTTGGATTGGGTGGGATACATAGCAGGTTGAGAACAGGTTAACAGATGAAAATCCGAGTCGAATAAACAGACCACTTTCAAGTTGGCCAGCTGTGACTTGTGGGGTTATCACAAGGAACAAAGCCAGGCCCCGGCAATTTCCAATCTGTATTAATACTTTGGTTTTGTGGGATTAAATGCGCTAGTTTTAAGTTTACATATAACACAAAACTTGGTGCAAGTCTTAGTTGTGAGGAAGATACAAGAAGGCTTCAAGATATTATGAACAGACAATGTAAATGAGCCAAAAATTGGCAGATGGGTGGCATGGTGGCTCAGTGGTTAGCACTGCTGTCTCACAGCACCAGGGACCCAGGTTCGATTCCACCCTTGGGCCACTGTCTGTGTGGAGTTTGCACATTCTCCCATGCCTGTGTGGGTTTCCTCCAGGTACTCTGGTTTCCTCCCACAGTCCAAAGATGTGCAGGCTAGGTGGTTCGGCCATGCTAAATTGCTCATGGTGTTCAGGGATGTGTCGATTAGGTGGGTTATAAGGGAATGGGTCTGAGTGGGATGCTGTGAGGGTTGGTGTGGACTTGTTGGGCCGAAGGGCCTGTTTCTATGCTGTAGGGGTTCTATGATTCTATGAACATGGAGAAATCTGAAGTTATCTACTTTTTATCAGAAAACTGAAATACACAACAGTTCTAAAATGTAAGAGGCTGGGAAGTTTTGAACTTCAAAGAAAATTGGGTGTCCTTGTGTGCAGATGCCGGTGTTGGACAAGGTCATAAATCACATGATATAGTGATAAATCATAATATACATAAATCACCTGTTATAGTCCAACAGGTTTATTTGAAAACACAAACTTTTGGAGCCTCGCTTCTTCTTCAGGAGTAAGCAGACAAGTGGCATGTTGGCCTTTATTGCCAAAAGATTTGAGTATAAGATAAAGGTGTCCCATTGCAATTATACAGAGCCACGGTGAAGTCACACTGTGTACAATATTAATCTTGTTCCCTATGAAGTGAGATATTTTCCACAAACATAGTAAACAGCGCTTCACCAAGCTAATTCCTGGGATTGAGAGATTGTTCTATTAGAAATGGATAAATAACATGGGGCTTTTATTTTCAACAGCATGAGGACTGATCTCATACAAACATACAAAATTCTCACTGAAGTAGACACACAGTAAGGATTTTTCTCTGGCAGGTGGGTGGGGACGGTGTAGGTCTTAAAACAAGGGACACTGTCTCGGAGTTAAAGGACAGGGAATTTTGGACTCTGGAGAAATTTCTTCAGTGTGATGAGCATCTGGAATTCTCTGCCCCAGAGGTTTGTGGAGCGGAGTAATGTAATGTGTTTTAAAACTTTAAGATTTCTGCTATTAAAAACAGCCAAGAACATGGAATAGTGCAGGAAAATGATGTTGAAGTAGGTCAGCCATAATTTCACTGAATGGAAGAACAGCCTTAATGGACAAATCATTTCCTCCTGCCCCTGTTTCTCACATCCTTATGGCCCTCATCATCACTACTTTTACTATATTGAAGAAGTCAAGCATTTTGGTTAAATACAATTAAGAAGGGGTGTATGGAAATGGTGGCTCATTGGTTATCACTGTTACCTCACAGCGCCAGGGACCCACCATCGATTCCACCCTTGGGCGACTGTGCAAACTCCACACAGACATTCTCCCCGTGTCTATGTGGGTTTCCTCCAGGTGCTCTGCTTTCCTTTCACAGTTCAAAGATGTGCAGGTTAGGTGGATTGAACATGTTAAATTGTCCAAGAGTGTCCACGAGTGTGTAGGGTAGGTGGATTAGCCAAGGGAAATGTGAGGTTACAGGGTCTTGGTGGGATTCTCTTCGGATGGTATGGACTTGATGGGATGAATGGCCTGCTTTCACAGTGTAGAGATTCAATGTCAATTTAATTTCTCCACTATGAGATAAACCTCTGCAACTCAATATGCTGTATTCTTCAAGAATCCTACACTAAATATTGGACCATTTTGTCCCCCTGATCTGGAGACACTGATACATAAGAAACAATGTGCCCTGTCCTGTACGGATCAGCTGACCACTGCAGAATTATTTTCAAACTAGTTTTTTCATTTTTAGCTCCAAGGTAGATCAATAAAACATTTGAATTCCTTACCACTCCTCACAATCTTTCATCATTTTTTCTCCTCTTTTGTAGGTCCGGTCACTGAATTTGCATGGACAGTCTTCGGGGTAGACACAACTATCATCATAATCTAAAACCATCCCCTCTGGACATATACAGCCAGATACGCACTTAGCTGGTATCTTTGGGTAGAATGAAGAACAGGCAATTTAATTTTCAGATATTTAGATTCTCAATTCTAAGAAAGGAGAGTTTGCTAAATTTCCTACTCACGCATGAAATTTCTGTGGCTATCATCTGGCAGGTTGGCGCGCATGTTGTTCCATATTGGCCGTGTGGCCCATGCGCACAGCTAAAGTAAACTTTGGGAGGCCTGCACATTCCTGCAAGAACAAATTTGCTGAGATTATCCACTTTTTGTCAGGAAAAACAGAAATACACAGCAGTTCTAAAATGTAAGAGACTGGGATGTGTTGAACTTCAAAGAAAATTCGGTGTCCTTGTTCATTAGTCACTTAATGTTAAGTTGCGGATGCTGCATGCAATCAAGCAGACAAGTAGCATGTTGGATTTTATTGCAAGAAAATTTGAGTACAGGATCACCATCAATGTGGGACCACTTTCAAGTAGAACATAGTAAGCAGGATTACAAAGTAATATGCATGAAACCATATTACTTGATTTCTTTTTCAAGTATAAAGATACTTTTATGACGTAGTTAAATATTTTTTAACATTTAAAATGAAACAGAATTTCATTGAACCTTTGAAGACTGGAGGCTGGCCTGCACATTTCAGTTTCCCATTCCTACAGAACCTGTGGAGAGACAGGAAAGAGAATTGAGGTAACTGTTTCTCACTCAACAGAACTTGGATTTGCTCAGTTTGACTTACTGCTTTGTTCTATCTATACTTCATATTTCTGGATTTATGGCCACTTTTTTCTGTATTCCATTGTCATTTATCCAGGTAGAATAACCCACGTTCTATGAAAATTACCCATTCTCCAGGTGAACTGCTCGTGCTTTGTATAGTGCCGTATTCCATGGCAAATGTATAGTGCCCAAGAAAAGTGCTCACACTTCACACTAAGTGTCCATTCTCCATGGTAAATGTCTATGCTTTGTGAAATGCCTGAGATTGCAGTCTATTACGTATATTTACCACCTATTAATTCTGAGTGTTAGAAATAAATTGTGTATATATATTTTGGATTGTATTACTATTCTAATGTTGTGAAGTAAGGCTTTCTCTTGTTTGTTCAAACCTCTAGCTTTATTACCTTAGTAAGTACCTTGAATCTGAAACTTTGTCAACTTTTAAAAATAAATTATTAGCTCCAATGTAACACCATGCTTTACTGGTAGTGCCCACTCTCTATGGAAGTTGCCTATGTTACATGTGAAGCTCCCAGTCTCCATGATAATTATCCAGGCCCCATATGAAGTGTCCAGGTACCAGGGGAAATGTGCTCCATGTGAAGTGCTTTCACTTCATGTACAGTGTCCTAGCCCCATGTGAACTGCTCTGTTTAACATACAATGCCCACACTCTAGGTAAAGTGCCTGTGCTTCATGCAATAACACTATTATATTTGAGGTGCTCATATTGCATGCACAATCTCTAGCATTGATGTACAGTGTGTGATGAATCCTTCTTTCTAAGTATTACTTGTGCTGCAGAAGCCAACATTCTGTGAAAATATAACACTCGGGGCACACTCAGTTCTGAAGGGTTATTACATTTGGCTGGTGCAAAATATCAGTTACACACAATTCTACCAAGAAATAGAGGCAGGGTGAATTGCAAGATTTTTCAGGTACTCCAGACAATTCAAGGATCACTTAAGAGGCACAGAAACTGTAGGTGTGTGAGAGGGAGAGAGTAGACTCCATATAATGGAAACAACTGAACTAAACCAGTTGGAGAAGTAAGTGAGAAGTCAACAGTAGTTGGATATCTTTGTTAGAACTCAGGAAGAAGTTCTAGGAGTTAGGCAGCTAAAGACTGAGATCAGGGATCTTGAAAAATCCTTTAAGATATGGGGGTTAAAAACAATCTGTGTCATGATTAGTTCTGTCCAACTGAGAGTGAAGGTTTAAAAGCAGATTGCTTCAAGGAAATACTATGTGGAACATTACAGCTCAGGGAAAGACGCATGGGTAGTTCAAGCTTGGTGAAGCTAAATGCCAGTGAAAAGCTGGAGTTCTACCTACAAGTAGGGACCAGTGTCCAGTTTATAAGAGTCTAGAGGAGTGTAAATCTGGGAAGGCGGGTGGTTATTAGAACTGCAGTAAATATTGAGGCAGTGCATATTAAGTGGCTCTTGTGAGGAGTTTCAAAGCCAAATAGGTAAAACTGAAAAACTAATCTGTTGTCAATTTCAATGAAATTTGATAGCATAATGTGTCACTAATGTCTGGGAGAGTTGCTGAGAAACCAGTGAGAACTGTCTTGATCACATTTGCTATTGGAGCTCTGTGGAATGCCTGATCAGTCTATTACCCATATGAACCACATATTAATGTGGGATATTAAGAGTTTGAGCAATTTTTTTATTGTAGATTATATTAGTGTTCTAATACTGTATAGTAAAGTTTATTGTTGTTTGTTCAAACCAGTGGAATCTTGTGGCTTTTATCTCTCAGTAAGTCTCCTGAATCTCACCATTTTATGTCATTTTAAAAAATAATGATTACTTGGTCACTAACCAGATAGTGCCTTAAGTTTGGTGGCCTAGTCTGGGATCATCACATAAACGCAAACCTTTGTGAAATACCAATATTTCATTAGTGCACGCCTGTGTACCATGTGAATTGTCCACAGTCTATGTACCCATCTTAAATCCATTCCTTTCTAAGGAATAGGGAGAGAATCTGAATCATAAGGCCATCCTGGAAATTTCAGCACTCAGTTGAACCCAATATAGTTGTGTCCAGGCTTAACCTCTAAACAGTGTGGCATTGTAATCTTTCAGAATAAACACATGTTTGATCCATAAAGTTAACACCATGACACGGTGGCTCAGCGGTCAGCACTGCTGCCTAATCGCGCCAGCAACCCGGGTTCAATTCTACCTTTGGGTGACTGTCTGTGTGGAATTTGCACATTCTCTGTGTCTGTGTGGGTTTCCTCTGGGTGCTCCAGTTTCCTCCCACAATCCAAAGATGTGCAGGTTAGGTAAATTGGCCATGCTAAATTGCCCTTAGTGTTCAGGGATGTGTCGGTTAGGTGGGTTACAGGGGGATGGGTCTGGGTGGAATGCTCCAAGGGTTGGTGTGGACTTGTTGGGCTGAAGGGCCTGTTTCCACACTGTAGGGATTATATGATCAATGATAAAATATAACTAGCTCAGAGATGACTGGAAGATAGTAATGACATGAGTGTAAAACGTTCTTCACCACTTTTCATTCTAAGCTGCTACAAAATCACATGATGTATTTTAAATGTTTATCTTCATTCTGATGGTTCAATATCCACACTGCTCACTTACCAAGTCTCGTAGTTAATGGTGGTTGATTTGCCTGGGCCTAAATAGTCACCATTATTGAGTATGCATTGGCATTTTGATGCTTTAACACAGTTACCATAAACATCAAGATATGAATATGTTGGACAGATACACCCATCAACTGGGACATCAATTGCAGTGCATTCAAAATCTCGGTCAGATAGTGACACACAGGTCCGATCACATGCTCTGGCATTGTAGCTAAAAACTTGACGATCAGGGCACATAATTTCTGGGAAAAAAAACACAATTTGCAAATAAATTAACTTTTTTTTTCTGAGCCTTTCAGTTACACAGCATCCACTACTAATTGGCATTGTACTTTAATACAGTCACTCTATAAAATATAACAGCAGATCCAGTGCCATAGTTTAACAGTTAACTCCATTATACCTTTTGAAGGATTCCCAATGAAATTTAAGCAAAATTTGTGTATGGCATTCTACCACATAATTAATTTCCAAGCCATTCTCAAAGACAGTACTCTTAATCCTAATCATTCTAAAGTTATTGGAGTTTGATCCAGTGACAATGAAAGAGGAGCAGTATATTTTTAAGTCATGATGGTGCATGACTTGGAGAACATGTGGTGGTGCTATTTTCATATTTACGGCCCCTGTCTTTTTCGATGATATGTCACTGGTTTGGTAAGTGTTGTATTATTGAATAGTCTTAGAAAAGCAGTGTATCTTTATGAAAGTTAGATGGCAATGACATGTGATGTCCAGTCTAAAGGTCTTCACCTCATCTTCAGTAGCAGTTGTAGTGGCAGTGTATAGTCAATAGTCAGCCAGGTGCAACATTACAGTCATGTAATGTAAGCACGGAACTCACTGAGTCTGAGATTTTACAACAGTGTAAATAGTGTTTTTAATCAATTTCAATACATCTGTCTCAATAAGAACCCAGTTTTCATGAATTATGTTACATGGGCTAATATATTTTTCTTTATTCTTTCATGGGATGTGGGCATTGCTAGCAAGGTCAGTATTTTTTGCTGGTGTTATTTGTGCCTTGGCTTGCTAAGCCACTTCAAGGGCAGCTAAGTGTCAACTGCTCATGCTGAAATCACATGTAGGCCACACCAATTAAGGAAGCAGATTTCCTTCTCTAAAGGGCATTAGTGAATTTTTACAACGATTGGTGAGTTTAGTAAATGCCATCTCTGAGACTGGCTTTCCATTCCAGATTTTATTAATTGAAATTCCCCATTTTCCATGGCAGGGATTCAAACCCATTGCCTCTGGGTCCCTGGATTAATACTTCAGTGACACTGCCACTACACTACAGGGAGTTCTGCTATAATGCGTGTTCCAGCAACGCGAATTAGCTATAAAGTGACTGACGAATAGGGGAACAGTAGTTCTAAAAAATGAACTTGTGTTGGCTATAACATGATTCCGTTGGTATGTGGAGCAGTATGTGTTGACATCACCTGATCATTTCGCAGGCTTTGTCCTGAGCATGTGCAGCATTTAGTGGTGAAAGAGTCTCTGCGCCAGCATCATGTGATCATCATGCTTTCTCTGAACGGTACAGTACTTTTTTTTTTTTTTTTTTTTTTTTTGCAACTTCCGCCGTGTTACTGACAAAAATGCAAGAACAAAGTGACAAGAATGTTAGCAAAAAGCGTCCTGGTGATAAAATTGCGGTTATAAACTGGAAGAGAAGCTCTGTTAAAGTGTTTTGAGCGTAATGAGAGAACATGCATATAGTTCGCATAACAGGAATAAAGGAGCCTACCTTAAGCACCATTAGAGACAATGCAAAAATGATTGCTGGAAAGCTGTATGCTGGAATAAGTCTGAGTGCTAGCAAATCTGAGGTATGGACAAAGGAACTTGAGGAGATGAAGTGACTTCTGAGTGTGTGGATAGAAGATCAAACGAAAAAGTGATCTGGGACCACCCTTCTCACCATAAAAGAGAGCCTTATCAATTTATGAAGATCTAACAAAAAAACTGAATCCTGCAGATGTGCCTGTCTTTAGTGCTAGCAGTGGTTGGTTTGCTGGTATTAGAAACGGTTAAGGCTTTCATACCGTAAAGTTGTGGCGAAGCTGCCATTGCAGACAAGGAGCATGCAATGGCACTTCCTCTCATTGTTTTAAAAAAAAAATTAATTGATGAAGGTGACAACTTGGATCAAATTTTCAATTTGGATGAGACAGGTTTATACTGGAAGCGAATGCCATCATGAACCTACATTTCTATGAATGAAGCACACACTCCATGCTTTAAGATGGTAAAGGATCATATAACTGTGCTGTTGGATGGCAATGCCAGTGGAAACTTAAAGCTTAAGCCTGTGGTAGTGTAGCACTCTGCAAGCCTTGAAAGGCTACTTTTAAGTCTACTTTAGGTCAAGCAAAAGAGGTTGGATGACAGGGCAATTTTTTTTCTGACCTTTTATTGTTGATGTTTTGGAGATGTTTTTAGAAAGTATTGCAGGAAAACAAAATTCAATTTCAAGTCTGTTCTCATCCTCAATAATGCACCAAGCTATCCTCCCACCACTGAGCTTTCTGAAAACAAAGTGCTCTCCTTCAATCCACGGACCAGGGTGCAATAGCAGCTTTTTATTTAAGGGGCTGTTACAGCCACTGAGGGGGATAAGGACAGTGTTCTTCAATTCTGGAACAGCTTTAACATCAAGAATGCAATTGACAGATGTCAGTAAGGACTGCTTGCACGCAGTATGGCAGACGCTTCTCCCAAATGGTTTTAAAATCTTGAAACATTTGATCCGTCAGAGGAGCTCCCAAGAATCAAACGACATTGTTGATCTTGCAAAGCAAGTTGGATTTGAAAAAGTGAAGAGTGATGATGTTAAAGAGCTGCTTGAGTCCCACTGTGACGACCTCTTTACAGCTGATCTACAACAACTTCTTGCTTGAGGGAGAAGTGGAAGCTGGAGATGGAAGAGTCCAGGCTGCAGTACCACAAGAGCTTTCCACTTCTGTTTTGTCTTCTATCCTGAGGGAAACTGAGAAGCAGTTGCAGCTCTTAGAGGACAACGATTACAATGCAGAACACAGCTAAGCAGCAGTTTGTGGAAGAAGATCTTATTTGGCACCTTATGAACAGCTTCCTCATGAAAGAAAAAGGGCAAAACAGCAAAAACTGCATGTGTGTGTCTTATTTACGCCAACCCCTAAGAAACCGTCCATCCTCTTCTGGATTAACTATTTTTCGCCTTAACCATCCAACCACAACTGCACCTGAAGGTGATGTGACAACCCTCAGCCTCTGCATTAACAAAAGAGCAACCTCAAAACCTCCCCTATCAAGTCAGCTTGACATTTTTTTTCAAGATAATGTGTTAAATTTACTTTAATTCATATCTAATAATGAAATAGAACATTCATACTGTGCTACCCTTTTGTGTTTAGGCTTCTGAGTGATTTTTGAGTGATTTATTTTTCGGTGGTTTCATAGACTCCTAGAATCCCTACAGTGTGGAAACAGACCCTTCAGCCCAACAAGTCCACACCAACCGTCAGCACCCCACCCAGACCCATTACCCTTTCCCCATAACCCATCTACACATCCCTAAAAAATATGAGCAATGTAGCATGGCCAATCCACTTAGCTTGCACATCTTTGGACTGTGGGAGGAAACTGGAGTACAAATGGCCTTACAAAATTGCTCACTGGAAGATCTTAATTCCAAGTTCACAAGTGCCAAATATTTTTTTCAAATTCAATATCAAGAATAGATATGGCGCATACATCTTTTGCAGTATCTCAGGAACTGAGGTCTTCTAAAAGTCATTTCAGTAAATATTTTTTCCTCAGATTGCCATCTTGATTATCCATCAGCCAGGACACATTCCAACAACATGTAGATTTTATCAGAATCAAGCAGGTTGTCCTTGAATCGCAAGTGACATTGTAATTCTTTGGAGAGCAAAATGCAAACATGACATAAACCTTCAGCAATTCAAGGCAATTGCTAAGAAACATGGCGTTGTTTTCAACACTGAAAAAAAAGTCAAGATGAAGCAAACATTTTTTTGAGTCAGGATCAGGCATTAATATTTTAAGATTGTAATATGAGCACATAGGTTTGTGGGAAGATGCTATGTTGTTGCATTTAGCCTGGGTCATGCAATGTTGCAATAACAATGGTTAAACCCTGCAAAGAATTGTACGACATGTCCAAGCTGTATATCTGACCCGGATACTTAAAGTATCATACCAAACAACAAGTCTACACCCACGACAAATGAGACAATGACAGATATTGCATTGCAGAGTTAAGCTACACAGCCAAGTTGTATTCAGACTAGATCCAGTTATGTTATATGCCTACTAAAGCATTATCTTTATATGTAGGAAATGTATCTATATGCAGCCTTTTATATGTTTATTGGAAAAGGGTTCCCAATCTTTAACAAGAAAAAAAGGGGGAAATACAGTGTACCTTTTCAGATAGTTACTTTACATTACAACATGTGAAGTTCCAGAGTAAAGGTACTCTCTTCACTTTCAGTTGTAGTTGATGTAGCAGGGTGTAGTCATTGTAATCAGCTATATGTAGTATTACGGTATGGTTTTATGCTTACTGAAGCTATGGTTATGTTACAAGAATATATGGAAGTCTGATATCCGAGCAAATAGAGTTTTTAATAAACTTCAAGATATCTGCCCTAACAGTAACTCATTTTTTGTGGCATATGTAACATGAGCTAATATACTGTAAAGTACTCAGAAATTATCATTCAAGTACTGGTGTTTGAGCCAAGAAACCATGTCAGGAAGTGCAGTCAAAGAAGCCTTGGCAAATTGCTGCAATACATCTTGCAGGTGGTATCACAGCAGCCAAGAAATGTTTGAGCTGAAGATGTGATTGCTAAAGCTAATGGAAGGGTTGGTTGTCATTTAACTGTGTTGCCTTAACCTGGAAGGTGCTGCTGTTCTTTAGTGATGTTTGGACAATATCAATCCAGAGAACAGAACAGTATTCCATACATCTTTCACCCTGGTTTTATAGCTGGTGGAATGCTTTATAGAGACAGGAGGTAACATAGAAACATAGAAGATAGGAGCAGGAGTAGGTCATTTGACTCCTTGAGCCTCCTCCACTATTCAATATGAGCAAGGCTGGTCATTGAGCTCAATATCTTAATCCTGTCGCCCACCCCATATCCCATGATCTCTTTAGCCACAAATGTTGTAACTACCTCCTTTGTGAGAATACATAATATTTGGCCTCTACAACTTTCTGTGGTAGTGAACACCATTGGCTCACCATTCTCCCAGTGAAGAAATTTCTCCTCATCCCAGTCCTAGAAGGTTTACCCCTTGTCCTCAAAGTATGACCCCTGATTATGAACTCCTCTACCATTGGAAACATTCTTCCTGTATTTAACCTGTTTAGTCCTGTTAGATATTCATAGGTTTCTATGAGCTTCCACCCCATTCTTTTAAAATCTAGTGAAGACAATCTGGACCGACTCAATCTTTCCTTGTACGTAAGTCCTGCCATCCCAAGAATCAATTTGATAAATCTTTGCTGCGCTCCCTCTAAAGCAAGAACATCCTTCCTCAGATAAGGAGATCAAATTTGCACACAATATTCCAGATATGGCCTCACCAATGCCTTGTATAATTGCAGCAAGACATCCTTGTTCCTGTACTCAAATTCTCTCACAATGAAGGCTAACATATAGGTTGCCTTCATAACTGCCTGTTGTATCTGCATGCTTACTTTCAGTGACTGGTGCATGAGGACTTCTACATCTCATTGAACATTCTCCTCTTTCAATTTACAGTTCTTCAAATAATCGACCTTCCTTTTTTCTTACCGAAGTGGACAACCTCACATTTATCCACATTATACCACATCTGCCACACTAATGTTCTGATTCAGAGGCAACAGTATTATTTTGAGTCAAGACTGATACCTGAGAGCTACTCAATGTAGAATATCCACCTTCTCACCTGTTCTTTTAGTCACAGTATTTACGTGTCCGGTCAGGTTTCTGATCAATGGTGACCTGCAGATGTTGGTAGCGGGCACAGACAGTTAATTGCATGTAAATTATGCTTAATTGTACTGATAGTGGGCATTAACTGGTAATTCACTTGAACCTCTACTAATAGACAAAAATGAAAACTGTGATTATAGACTTTGGTATGGCTGTAAGGTACAACTCTGTAAGTAAATGTAAAAATGTGGAAAAAATTGCTCCAGTTCTATCTTTCAATGCTACATTCAAAATACTGTCAAGGAAGTCTCAGTCCTTTGGTTAAAGCAGGCAGCAAGTATCTGACCAACAGTTACCGAAAATATGAAGAATGTGACGTTATAATTTGTGACATCCCTCTGGGAAATCTGAGTGATGACATGCTCTTTGGAAACCAGTGATGACGACAAAGACAATCCTGCGAATGTGTAACTGAGTACCTTTTGTTTTTGCTGTATACTTACTGCAGCCTTGCACAGTATTTCTCCATTCATTCAAAATCAGTCCTTTTGCTGCACATGCACGAGCGTATGACCCCAGAGCTGCACACAAAAAGTCCTGTGTCCTTTCATAGTTGCACGTTTCAAACTGACATTTCTATTGAAGAATATAAACAGTAACATTTAAAATCAAGCAAACTTGAGAAAACTGTAATTACAAATCATTTGAAGTGTTTTGGGAATCCATTCAGTGCAAGAACCTTTTCACATGAATAAAACATGTTATGACTAGTCCATGTAGAAAAGTAATTCTAGTCTGAACCTGGACAAAGAGGTTCCGGAAGACTTCAGACTGACATTCTCAAACAAGCTTGATCTCAAATAACCTGTGAATCTCAGATGGAGTTGCAATTTTGGGTATGTTAATATCTGTCTGATGATGTGCCTGTGTTTGGCAGCGATATTGAGAGTGGCCCTTTTTGTATATAAAAGGTGTTGTCTTACTTTATGTGGACCTAAGCAATTGTTCATTTTAAGTTGTTTTGTGCTCTATTTCTACCATCTTCTTTTTCATTGGCTAAATCAATGAGCAGGAAGCTGCCAGGCCTTTACCAACGTCTCTCCTCTGGGACGTGGCGGGAGATTTCCTGCCCTCCTTGGGCTTGGTATGGGAACTCAAATTTCTTTTCCTTCTTTCAAAATTGTTGGTGGCAGGAGATAGAAAGGATGCAAGTTGTTGGGCCTTGAAGTCCAAGTGCGCCATTAATTCATAATATTTTTTAAAACAATATCAATAAAAAAGGCAAAGACTTATTAATCTTCACGTAGTCTTAGTATAAATAAAAACCTTGTCACCTCTTCAAATGGCACAGGGTCCACCAAACTATGGCATCTTCCAAAAATACTGGTTACATCCCCCAGCAGATGGCACTTGTTGGGAGGGTAACCCCCTGTTAAATAAAAGGAAATATATTCTGTTACTGGTATACGATAAATCTTTTTAGTATCATATATTTGTATTTTACTAAAATTAGCTATGGAAAAATTGAACAAATAGTACAACTTCATCAGTGAAAATTGCTTGGGCAAGCAGGTTAGTAACAGAAGAAATCTTCAGAAAGAAGAAAATTACATCGTGTGATACAGCTGGATCCCCAAACAGCACAGTGATGAACTGTATTGAGTGTAAATGGTACTTCTCCTTCCAAAACCTATTCTGGTACAGACGGTATTGCAAAGGAAATCCGGGTAATTCATAGTCATAGGGGACCGTACGGCTGCTCCCATTAGAGAGAGATGACTGGTGGTGAATTTAACCTGAAAGTCACTATAACTCAGGTGAGGGACGTGTCTGTGAAGGCAAGACCTCTATGGTAACCTCAGCCAGTGCAGAAAACGAACGTATGCTATTGGCGTCACTCTGAATCACAAACCAGTTCAGCAGGCAACTGGGTCAATTAGCTCAGTTGGTTGGACAGCTGGTTTGCAATACAGAGTGACAACATGAGCATAAGTTCAATTTCAATACAGGCTGAGGTCACCATGAAAGTCTCAACTTTTTGACCTTGCCCCTTGCCTAAGGCATGGTGACCCTCCAGTTAAACTACCACCACAAAGGCTCTCTCTAATGAGAGAGCAGCCTATGGTCCTCCGAGACAATGGCAACTCTGCCTTACCAGGTTTTCTAATCATGCCATCTGTCCCATCTAATATTCCCAGGATAACTCTAGCATAGGCTAGAGAAATAGTTCCCTCTACACTTTCCCATCAAATACTACCAGGGTAGATACTGCACAGGTCAAATTTTTAAAAGTATGACTCCTTATAGCTAGAATCTCAAAATATAGGTTTGAAAAGAGTTCCATATTGGGGTCCTCAGAGTAGTCATGGTTGATCATCTACTGGGCACATCTAGTTGAAGTCGCTTGCAAAATGTTTCAACCTTGTCTTTTGTACTGACATGCTGGGCTCCCCCAGAATTGAAAATTGGGCTATCAGTAGGGCTACCTCCTCCGCTTGGGGGAGAAATGAATGCAAGTTCCATCATAACAGCTGGATAAATTCAATGAGTTACGAGAATCAGGAGGAAAAAAGAAATGATAGATTCTGATAGTAAGCATGAAAACATACTTGTTGTAAAAGTCCATCTAGTTTATTAATGAATGCAGCAGAGCATGACATGAGCAGCAACAGGCAGACTTGATATTAGTGAGCTATTTAACCTGATGAAGCTACAACGCAAGATTACTTGCACGACAAGTAGCATAAGCAGCAAGTGCTAGACAGAACTAAGTGATCCTAAGGGGCAGCACGGTGGCTCAGTGGTTAGCACTGCTGCCTCACAGCGCCAGGGACCTGGGTTCGATTCCACCCTTGGGTGACTGTCTGTGTGGAGTTTGCACATTCTCCCCATGTCTGCGTGGGTTTCCTCCGGGTGCTCCGGTTTCCTCCCACAGTCCAAAAGATGTGCAGGTTAGGTGGATTGGCTATGCTAAATTGCCCGTAGTGTTCAAGGGATGCCTAGATTAGGAGGGGTTAAAGAGGGATGGGTCTGGGTGGGATGCTCTGAGGGTCAGTGTGGACTTGTTGGGCCAAAGGGCCTGTTTCCACACTGTAGGGATTCTATGATTCTATGATCCTACAACCAACAGATAAGACTTGAACTCTGCCAATGTTGAATGGTGCTGGTCCATTAAACAACTATTTCATAGAATCTCTACAGCGTGGAAGCAGGCCATACATCCAACGAGTCCATGCTGATCCTCAGAAGACTATCCCACCTAGACTCCCCATCCCACCCTCTTTTCCATGGCTAATCCACCTAACCTACATATTCCTAGACACCATGGGCAATTTAGCATAGCCAATCCACCTAACCTGCACATCTTTTGGACTGTGGGAGGAAACTAAAGCGCCCAGAGGACACCCACACAGACATGGGGAGAATATGCAAACTCCATATGGACAGTCACCCAAGGGATAGAATCAAACCCCATCCCTTGCACTGTGAGGCAGCAGTGCTAACCACTGACCTACCATGCTGCCCCAAGTGGAAGAAGTGGCCCTACAAATAGTCCAATTTTCAATTCTGGGGAGCCCAGCATGTCAGTACAAAAGGCAAGGTTGAAACATTTTGCAAGCGACTTTAGCTAGAAGTGCCAAGTGGATGATCAACCTTGACTACTTCTTGAGGGCCCCTGCATCATAGATGTCAGCATTCAGTCTATCTGATTCACTCCATGTGATATTAAGAAACAGCTAATGGTACTGGATACTACAAAGGCTGTGAGACCCAAAAAAACTCTAGACTTGATATTGTCACAACTTATCTGGAAGAGTGCATCAATATTAGTGTCCACTAGTCTTTAAGCCATCCTAAAATTCATAAATGTACAAAATCCCAAAGAGATAGCTAAAATGACCAAATTGCCTGAATGACTGCTACTCAGGACAAAAGCAATTCATACCAGTTTTCATCATGAACAGAAAAAAAAGTGAAAGAGCAATGAAAAGGAAAGATTTTTTTAAAATTTACTGTGATACAACCTAAATCATAAGCTCTTCAAAACAAAATTCCCACACACCCTATCATCGCTAAGACAGGTAAAATACAAATAGTTTATCATATATACTATGGGTGGCAAACAATATTCTGAAAATCCAGCATCAACACCATAAAGTGAAAGGTTATCTTCTACAGTCCTTTTGCTTTTAGCAATGAAGGCATACTGTTAGTTGTAGGGTGACATTTGTCCTTTGATTTGATGGTTGATTTAGGTAGATGTAGGTCTTTTCTTGCATGAATTCCTTCTATGAAGCCATCTTAGTTTTCTTAGTTTTTATATGGGGAGAGCAAGAGGAAGAGGGAGGGATGTTATCTTTCTGCCTGTAGGGTGTGGATGTTTTTCAACTTTGCTGCTTTTGGTACTTTGTGCTGCTGAATGTTAAAACACTACTAATCAGAAGGCTGTTGTCAGTCAGAATTTCCTGAATTTGAAAGATTCTTGATTTCGTGCAGTCTTGAATTCTCCATCTTACTGCTTCCAACAAGCACCATTGTTTTGCACAGGCCAATGTGATTTCTAAATTTCCAACCTTTCCTGGTATTCATGCTAGTGCAATATGAGTCCAGCTTCATTGGATGCCAGTCTGTTTTTCAGTTGTTAAGCCCTAAAAATGAAACACTGTTGGTCTCTTACGGCACTGAAAACTTGTGCTCTACAACTGACTAGTTCTCTGTGTTCTAGGCAGCTGCACCAGTACAGATACCAGTACAATGGCAGTGTCCTTTCCACCGAAAGCAGGACAAATTCAACCCAGACAATTATGACTACATCAATCTACAGTCAATCATCAGCCAAGTGATGGAAGTTGTTGTTAACAATGCTGTCTAGTGACACCTACTCCAAAATAATCTGCTCAATGATGCTCTAGCTTATTCGACATTCTTGCTGAATGTTTGGGTTCAGCAGGATAAGTTATCTCCTCACACTATTACAACCTTGGTTCATACATGGACAGAAGAGCTGTCCACGACATCAAAGCTGCACTTAGCTGAGAGGAACGTTAGGAAGCCCTGGCAAAACTAGAGTTATTGGATTCAAAAAGAAGATTGTCTATTGATTAGAGTCATACTTAACACAAAGGAAGATAGTGTCATAGAGTCATACAGCATGGAAACAAACCCTTCAGTCCAACTCGTCCATACCAACAAGGTATGCTAAAGTTTGTCTTCATTTGGTCCATATCTCTCTAAACCTTTCCTATCATATAGCTGTCCAAATGTCTTGCACGGTGGCTCAGTGGTTAGCACTGCTGCCTCACAGCACCAGGGACCCAGGTTTGATCCCACCCTCAGGCCAATGTCTGTGTGGAGTCTGCACATTCTCCCCGTGTCTACGTGGGTTTTCTCCAGGTGCTCTAGTGTCCTCCCACAGCTCAAAGATGTGCAAGCCAGGTGAATTGGCCATTGGAAATTGCCCACAGTGTTCAGGGACGTATAGATTAGGTGGGTTACAGGGGGATGGGTCTGAGTGGGATACTCTGGGTTGGGACTTGTTGGGCCAAAGGGCCTGTTTCCACACTGTAGGGATTCTATCGAACTGTTGTAACTGTACTCGCCTCAACCACTTCTTCTGGCAGCTCGTTCCGTACACGTACCACGGTGTGTGTGAAAAAGTTGCTCCTCAGGTACCTTTTTAATTCCCATCTCACCTTAAACCTATGCCCTCTAGTTTTAGATTCCCCTACCCTTGGAAAAATACTTTGGCTATTCACCTTATCAATACCCCTCATGATTTTATAAACCTCTGTAAAGTCACAACTCAGCTGCCAACAATCCAGGCAAAAATGTCCCAGCCTATGCAGCATCTCCTTATAACTCTAGCGCTCGTTCCCAGCAACATCCAACATTTTTTCTGCACCCTTTTCAGATTAACAACATCTTCCAATAACAGGGCGACTAGAATTGTATGCAGTTTTCTAAAACCGGCCTCACCAATGTCTCGTGCAGCTGCTTCATCAATGACTTTCCCTCATCACAAAGTCAGAAATGGATATGTTTTCTGATGGTTTCACAATGTTCAATGTTTACGAGTTAGATATTGAAGCAGCTGTGTCCATATGTAGTAAGACCCGTTCCACATTCAGACTTGAGTTGATAGGTGGCAAGTAACATTCACACAACAATAAGTGCAGTCAATGACAATCTCCAACAAGAGAGAGAATCCAGCCATTAGCCCTTGACAGTCAATGGCATTAACATCACTGAATCCCCCACTATCATCACACTAAAGTTACAATTGACCAGAAAATGAACTGGACTAGCTATCTAAGTAATGTGGCTACAAGAACAGATCAAGGCTGAGAATTCTGTTATGAGAGACTCACCTCTTGATTCCATGAACCCTGTTCACCATTTATGATGTGCAAGTTAACAGTGTGTTGGGAT